GCACTCACAGGTTGCGATTCGCCGCTTCTGCGCATGCATGTGATGTCATTTTGCACGTCTGCGCATGCGTGGGTGGCGAAACCCGGAAGTAACCCTTTCTGTTACTTCCGGGTTGCCGCGGGACGTAACCTGAAAGAAGGTAACATGAAGCGGATGTAACATGAGGTATGACTGTATCAGAGAGAGAGATGAAAGCTGCTGAAATCCAGAGTCAATCAAGTATCTACTAAAACATGTTTAAAAGATTAAGTTAAAACATACATGCCGATCCACCTTGAGATACATGTGACACTCACCCCACACTTCTGTTGATACCACTACTTCTAGGCTGCGGTGCGGAGGGTGCCCTCCCAGGCCACTTGGGTGTACGGAGCGGTGCACATGCCCTGCAGCCAGGGCGGAGCGAGCTGCCTATGGGAGCGGAGCGAGCCGCCGATGGCGGACATTCGGCGCGCCGCCCGCCAACGACTCCCAAGCCTCCCCCAGCTGTCAAAATGAAGTGGGAAGGGGGGGAGGCTGCCGGCACAGCTCCTCCCCCTTCCCCCAACGGCTCAGGGTAGGCTTGGGAGTTGCAGGCGGGCGGCACGCCAAATGTCACCCCCCTCAGTGAAGACACCTGGGGTGATCTGCCCCCACCCCCCACTCCTTCCTCTGCCCTTGAGAGGAAGTCTCATTCCAGCCAGTTTGGAATCGTTGGAATGGGTTCCCCACCATACAGGTGAAGTTGGAAAGCTGTCCAGCAAGACAAGAACAGGTCTGAGAAAAGGTATATTGAAACAGCAGGGGAACTGTTCAGCCAAGGGGTCAGTCTAGACCAGGGGTAGTCAACCTTTTTATACCTTACCACCCACTAATGCATCTTTCTTGATGGTAAAATTTCCTTACCGCCCACCACTGCTCTATGGAAGAAGGATTCAGCTTGTGCCGTAGAACCCCCTACTGCCCACCTAGAATCCTGAAACGCCCACTAGTGGGTGGTAGGGACCAGGTTAACAACCCCTGGTCTAGAGCAAAAAGAGCTAGGCAGAAAGTGTGTCACTAGAAGGCAGAAGACAAGCAGTTTCATAGCTTGCATACTGCCTTACCCTGCTGCAGCATGCTGATCTAAGGCACCTCCATATGAATTTTTTATCGTACATTAATTATTATTTGTGCTCTTGATGCTAGTGGGGTGATCCCACACGATCCCACTATCAATACTGTTGGCTCTTGGAAAACCTCTGGGGTGATTACACTTTTTCATTTCCAATCAGTGTGTATCCCATAACCTCTTGCTGAAATCCCATGACTTCTTGTACCACAAATGTTCTGTTTTTATTTTTGTCTTGCTTTTGTTATGCTATAGCTGGCAGCACTGGGGAAGCATCATGGTACAAACTAAAGCAGAATAAATTCACCACTCACTGTTACTGCATCCAGAATATATTGCAGAATGTACCCACAAGAGAACACCAGACTGATTGTTATTATGTCCTGATGTGTAAAACCACAGAATTCAAAGAGGGTGTAAAGTACTTTCTTTTTTCCATGGCTGTATGTGTGGTAGGGTGCCCATGCTACAAATTTGTATTGACTTCCTAAAAACTTGTAACATGGGCACCATACTGGGGCATCCCCAAATAGTGCTGAAATACAAGCTTATTTTATGGTATATAAATTAGTGCTTGCTACTGCTCTTGCTATTGTTTAACACTGATATAGTGAGCGCAATTTGCCAGAGCCTGTTTAAATAGAAAGAGCCTGACCGAGTTGGCATGTGCAGTTGCCCTATGAGCTCAACTCTGTCCTTGTGGGAAGTCTACCAGCATGATGAAGGGGTTGGTGGCAGTAAACTGCACATGCAACAGTGTGATTGGATTGTGACCTATATGTTTTAAAGTTTTAGCTAATATTTTAAATTGCAGTATAAATACTTGCCATTTTCTGGTGTAGCAATTTTCTGAATGATACTCTTTTCATTTCAAGTAAAACGCACGCTAAAAAAATTATAGATACAATTTCTAAAATGGATGAAGAGTTCAATAAGGAAGCACCTGCCTGTACCTTACAGAATTCTGCCGAAGCATTGATTTCTCTTCAGCTATCAGATTTTAAAACAAATTTTCTGGAGGCAGTAGAAGAATTGCGTATGAGAAGGGTAGGCACTTATTTACTTATATTTCTAGCTAATTTGGAAATGTAAAGCAATTAAAGACATTCTTATTCCTAAGCCTTTTAACTTTTTTTTTTAGCTTTTTAATGTTATTTTTGTATTTATAGTTTTAGTCCCTGATTAATCTGATGGTGATTATTTAGCTTGCATTTGAGGTATTAATTTTATGTTACTGCTGATGTTGATGCTTTTCCTCCCCCCCCCCTCGTTAACTGGCTGCGTTACTGCTTATTCTTTGTATTTTTCTGGATTTTTTTTACATGTTTTAATGAATTATATATGTTTTATATTCTGTTGTACATTATCAAGAGGCTCATTGTATGACGCAATGGATCAGTGTAACAAACAAAACAAGCAAAATGAAATATACAGTAAAATGTATTAAAATTTATCCATGCTTGGTTAGTCTTTGCCATTGGAAGCCAACCCAAACTGGGTTTTACACAGCTTTTACAAAATGCTATATTGGTCGCTAGTAGAAAGGAGTTCCACAGTCATAAGAATGCATTTCTTATGCACAGCCTTGCTATTCAACATGAATGGTATAATCAAAAGGTGGAGAAAGGTGGTTTTTATGGATTTAAGTGTCTTTAACCCTCAGGGCTGGGGTTGAAAGTGTGGTTCCCATTGGTTCAGTGGCAACCTTGAGGTCATCTGTTGCTTCCCACAAATCGTCTGAGCCTTCCCATGCACTTTTCCTCCCTTGAAAAGTACACAGAGCTGAAGGAAGAAGTTGGAAGAGTGATGATATTCCCCACTACACATTGCAGTTCTGTTTGCTTTCCTTCTGGATCTGACTTTTACTGAGATCCCTTGGAAAACCAGACTTTATGTGCATGCACTTCCTCTCTTTCTGTCACTTACAGTACTTTGCATGTCCATGTGTCCATGTATGTGATTGACTGCAGAATAGAGATGTGATCAGAGGGAGTGGTGCCCACACATTGAACTCAAATGTGCCCATAGGCCTAAAACGATTGGCAGCTCTTCCCTTGAGGAATTTCACAGGTTAAAAGGAGCGGTGAAAGTGGCAAGAAATGAGGATCCTGGATACTGGCAAAACACAATGGAACATTGGGAAAAGGACATTTAAACACCATAATCACTTAGCTTTGATACTGCTATAACATTGATTAGGAAATGCCTGGTAAAACACATATATCACTTTAATCACTGGTCAAAGCCAACTGAAGCTTTTTGGCAATCCTTAAGGGCTCCAAATAGTAGGCATTACAGTAGTTTATGCTTGATGTTAGTGACGTTTCAGTGATGGTTTAAGGTCTGCATCAGTGCCCCCCCCCCTTTGTAGGTACAACTGCCATCTACATTATGTAAGCTCACAGGATCCTATATTTTGTTTTTAAGAAGTTACTTTCTTTTAATTCACAAATGTAAATACTTTTGCATATCTAGGAGGTCTCATGAGTATGTATAAGCCATTACCTTACTTTTGAGTGGCCCTGTGTTGCTTACAAACTGATAAGTACTCATCCACTTAAGTTCACTATTAGAGGGAACAAGTTGGACTTGCACAAAATGTTGTGATGTATCTCCCCTCCCAATATAATATTCTTTTCAAGCATAACATCCAGTATTTACAGACACATGTCTCATTTTTTATATTCTGTCACTCCAAATTCTGTGACTATTAATCCTATTAATCATTCTCAGACCACATTGGGCTGGCTTTGGCCTTTCGGGGTTTTGAAAAAAGATTAATTCAAACCTTGTGGTTTCCCCTAGCATACTGATACCCTCTTCTTGTTTCTCTGTTTGGAGGCATGTAAGAAGGCATTGCCCTGAAAAACATTAGAGACAGAATAAAAGAGATAGGTGTAGCTGCTAAAGGAATCAGCTGTCCAGACTGATCACAAGATTCAGGAAATATTTTAAAACTGAGACTGGCCATTCCCTGTGGCATGGCTAAAGTGGTGATAATCCTATGTCTCACAGTGAACTTGGTGCTGTGTTGTAGTGGCCTCAGCCGCTGTCCAAGTTCCTTCTAGCTGAGGACTTGAATCCTGTTTGCACATGCATGACCTGTGGCAATGGAATAGTGCTGTGGGTATCTTTGTTATAACTGTACATAACAGTGAATTATTCCTCTGTATTGTTGTGCTCACTCCAGTTTTCTGAGCATTGAAAAACAGGAAAGAGGGAAGAAGAATATGCTCCTTTCTAGAAGAAAACTCTGGCCATTACCTTAGTTATACAAGAACCAGCACTTCACTCTCACCAATGGCAATCCGTTCAATGAAAGGGAATCTGCCAGGCTAAGTTTCAACCAGTTTGAGCCACTCTAGGGATTCTTCTGTATGGGTACTTATTGTGAGATTTGTGCTGCTGATGTATGCAAGCTATTTGCAGCATCCACATAGTAGTGTTAGCATCAGAATGCCCCCTATTGAATTCAGATTTCTGTTTTCCAGGAAAAAGCCAATTAAGTTTTTAAAACACCATGTTGCCAGTTACCTGCTTATAGTATTAAGTCTCATCATGGAAGCATCCTAGTAGTCTCTTTTTACAACCCCAGTCATAAGCTGGACGGGGTGTGTCCTTCAGGCCACCCCCTCATCTAATTACACTTACATAAGCCGTTTTGTGTGCAAGGGCAGTTACTTTGCAGCATGGCCTGAAGAAATATCTCAGGCATTACCAGTTCTTAATTGTACTTAAGTATCATGCATGGTTAGAGAAACAACCTATTCATGCATTAGCTATCTCCACTCTTTAAAATTTTGTTTCCTTGTTGCTGCCTATTATCTGTGTCTGGGGACCAGGGACAGAGCCCACTCCTTTTATTTTAAAACGTGCTATAGTGGGCTTTGAACTTTAGAAATGTTCTTTAGGTACAGGTAACTCACAACTTATGCTCATTTAACTTGTGCACATTTAGCTTTACAGTACATGGTTGGCAAAATTAAAAATAAAAAGGGGGCAGAAAGGGGTTGGGCATCTGGGAAAAGACTTTTCAAGCCTACCCACTAGTGAACCACATGTGTTTTGACTATACTTGATTTTTGTTTTATGTGCTGTCCCTGGAATGTAACCCCAAGTTGAGTTTCGCCTGTACAGTACTAACTAGTTTTGCTTCAACATCTAGTTTATGTAGGCCCATTGCAGGGTGTCCTAAAACAGACTGTGAAGTAATTTGGAAGTCTGAGAACTGTTTGATTGAGCAGCATGAAAGAAATGGATTTTGCAATTTCGTAGGAGGTGGATTATGAGTTTGAAAAAGATGGTAAAAGTACCTAGTTTGGGTTGCTTGGATGTGAGCCAGCTGTACTCTGTTCCTAAATCTGTTCAGGGTCAAGAATCAGGGGGGCTTGACCAATGTACAGCCTATCTTGTAAAACTACAGCCTGAAGCAAGCACTTTACAAAGGCTTGACACTTTCTAAAGGTTATAACGAGTAAATAAACCATCAAATGACTCCTCTTTTATTGTTATGGTGGTGTTTTTGTAAAAACACTTAAATCCTTGTAGTCCTAAGGCAGCTAATAAAATATCAAGACTTCTAAAGGTTTTGTGTCTCTTGTTATCATCTTAAAATTATATACAGTTTTCCTCCTAAACATAAGAAAGTTTTCTTTTTAATGTGTTGCATGGATGTTTCAAGGTAGAATGTATAAGTTTTTAAAAGTTCCAGTTTAGAATGAAGGGGGAGGGGACTAACAGTGGTGAACTGAAGACCGGCTAAAGTTATTTGTTTAATTTTAAAAACTCTTAAATCTTTTAGGGAGCAATCCTAACCCAAAACTTGTGCTCCTGGAGGGGATTAGTATCGAGCAGAGGTATCCCTCCACCTTCTTCCACCTGCCCGGAAACCTATGTCCCCACTGTGGAAGGATGTGTGGATCCAGAATTGCCCTCCACAGTCACTTACAGACTCACGGTTAAGACCGTGCTCATGAAAGACAATCTTACTTGGTGATGAGTGATCACCGAAGAAGAAGAAGAAGAAGAAGAAGAAGAAGAAGAAGAAGAACTGGTTAGGAGGATCAGGTATCCTGGAACACCCTGCTGTAGTTTCTAAAGGTGCAAACTATTTGATATACTGCTGGTGCAAGGCTCTGAAGCGGCATTTTGGAGATGGGGCAGAGCTGGGCTGGCTAAGGATGTTCTGGATCCTAAGCCAATCCATTCACAAGTAAGGACCTGATCTGCAGGCCAGTGGTAGACAACAGCGAAAACGGAAATAACAAAGCCCTTGCCTTTGAGTGGCATGAGGCAGCAGCGTTTTGGATGCAGCAGTGGTTCTGCAACTCTGACTCCCTAGAATAATAGAATTGTAGAGTTGGAAGGGACCCCAAGGCTCATCTAGTCCTTTCCCCTGAAATGCAGGAATCTCAACAGGATCATAAATGACAGATGGCCATCCACCCTCTGCTTAAAAACCTCCAAGGAAGGAGAGTCCACCTCTCCTGGGACTCCATTCCACTGTCAAACAGCTCTTGCTGTAAGAAAGTTCTTCCTGATGTTTAGTCAAAATCTCCTTTCTTGTACCTTAAATCTTTTTGTTTGGGTCCCAGTCTCTGGAGCAGGAGAAACCAAACTTGTTCCCTCTTCCATGTGACAACCCTTTAGATATTTGAAGATGACTATGATATCTTCTATCATTCTCCTCTTTACCAGGCTAAACATACCCAATTCCCTCAACCATTCTTCATAAGGCTTGGTTTCCAGACCTTTTATCATATTCGTCACCCTCTTCAGCACATGTTCCAGCTTCTCAATATCCTTCTTTAGTTGTGGTGCCCAGTACTGAACACAGTACTCCCGGCAATATATTATATTTGTGCTTCTGGTTCTTCCACCCCAAGCGCAGAACCTTATATTTGTCCCTATTGAAATTAATTTTGTTAATATTGGCCCAGTTCTCTTATTGTGCTTCCTCCTCACTATTGCTCCTTTTCATTCAACTTTATGCACACTGTTTGCAAACTTTATGAAAGAAGTGAGACGCAAGTTGAAGGAGGAAGTTCAAGTTTGCAGCTTCTGTTCTTCCCATTCAAATATTTTGTTGTAGTTTAAATCATATAGGGTTAATTCCATGTGCCACTAGATGCATGAATTGTGTGGGAACAGATCAGTGGAGGTGATAATTTGTTGCTCCTTGTGCTGATGCATATTTAAGCAACTGTCAGTGGGCAGTTCACCAGCAGAATAATTTGTACACAGTGGAAACAAAGTTTTCTTTCATTTCCACTTTTCTTCTCCTTCCTTTCCTTCAAATTTAAGTCAAGTGCTGGTCTCCTAAAATGTCATTATTTCTAAACAATTCCTAAGCAATCTTATAACCCAATCCTAATGAACTTCCAAGTAAGTTGCTTAGATCCAGAAATGCTAACAAGACATACTATTAGCTATAGTAGCTCCCACTGTCAAATAGAAATGGAAGAGAATTTTGTTTGGTCTGCATTTTTAAGCGAAATGACCTAATTTGCACATCCCAGATTAATAAATGAACCGGAACATTATTATCCTTCAGATCTGCACTTCTGTGAATTTTGCAATACAGTTCTTTGCTCACATAATGCATCAAAGTGTATAAAATACATTAGGGTAAAATACATTTTGAAATGTGTGCATTGAGATAAAATATGTATTTAAACGTGCATTGTGTGACAAAAACTTATTTAAATATGGATTTAAATAATTGATTTTGTATGGATTTTTTTAAAAATTACAGATCACTGCAGAATTGGGACAGAATTGACATGTAGAATTGACATAGAAATAGGAAATTGATTGATCGGTCCATCCCTGCTGTCAAACAGCAGCCTACTTCTTAAATTTTCCACACTATAGAAAGTGGTTTCCTGCTGGAAGCTGTAGGCAATACCCCAGACTTATGTAGCTTGGAAGCACCCCTCCTCTGTTAACCATTTAGCATCACCCTGTCCATTTGTGGCAATGCCAGAAATAATTCTGTATAATATAGAAACACATTTATAAACAGGCACACAGTTGTCTTTACTAAGGTCTGAAGTTGGCACTACCTGCACCCGGTTGCGTGTAGCATTTTAATTTAAAATAAATAAATAAATAACAGCTGATGTCAAGAATAGAAAAGGGGAGGGAGGGAGGTTTTCTTAACTCTTTCCCATCTGACCATTTTTCTGCTTAAAATTGCCCTTCCCCAGTTGCTTCTCCTGGGGGGGGGGGGGGTGGAATACACAAGTACACTTTACTGACTGTTTTCTACAGGATTTTTACTAATAATGTATCATGTTTCAGCTTTTCATTAATGCGTGCTTTACTCGTAGCACATTTTAACAGCATTTGTAAATAAATTGTTTGAGAGCATACTCCCCCTTTTCTGAAAAGTCATAGGGTAATCAAAATAATTGGCTTTTGTCCCTGATGGGGGAGTAATAGAAGATGCATCTGGATTCAGTGTTTATAGATAATTATAAGAAAACTATTTTGTTGTAGTTACAGAATATTACTCACTTAGGGAGTGCAGAAAGGTTTTTTATGAGCTTTTATATTTTTGTGTTTATCTGCCTTACTTTTACACCGCATGACATTTGTAATATTCTGCAAACAATACTATAATCACAGAAGCAAAGGCTTTGCGGTTTTGTGACAGTAGATAAAAATCAAGCAGTCAGAGGATTGGCAGAAACCCCTTTCTGAAACCCTAGAGAACTGTTGCTAGTCATTGTAGGCAATACGGCAGAGCTAGATAGATAGGCGGTTTGACTCAGTATAAGATGGCTTTCTGTATTCATAACTTTAGTATTGGTTATAGTATAACACATAATAACAATCTGAACATGTTAAGATTAAAACATTTGGCTGCAACATCAGGTCGGTAACCAACACTCCTGGTTTTCAACTCAGATTGAAAGATGCTATTGCTATCAATTGTAGTAAACAGGTAAGTTGGAATTGATGGTAGTTGAAGGAGCACAGACCCGATCTCTAGACGAAAGAGAAGGCCTTGCATTACTGATGATGTTTGTGCTCTTCTGGCTAACCAGACTCATTGTTTGCAAGGGCTTCTGGACCAGGTTTTGCTTCTGAATTCTCAGGTCGCAACTTTGTCTAGGGTTGACTTTTTTCAGTTGCATCTACTGTGACCTTCTCTGGAAAATAGGTATCTTACAGCAAATGATTCATACTTTTGTAGATTGGCTCTAATTGGGATATTCTTTGAATAGCATTTGGGAGCTTCAGTGAATATAAAACAAAGAAGCCTGTCTTCTGACAGAAGTGGGTCAGTGGGAACATAAAGCTTGTCTTGCAAAAATTGTGCAATTAACTATTAGCTTTCAGATACAGATAGAGGGGCTGGTTTTGACCTATAAATCTGTTGAGGCTTTGAAATCCACATATCTCAGGAAGCATTTCAGCCAATATGAACTCTCCCTCCTGTCATATTAATCCTCCTGTATAAAAAACATGTGAGGAAACTTTGTACTAATATATGCAGTGTTAAAAGAAGCCTTTATGGGGGAGTATTTTTCTCTCCTCCCATTTTCTTTTCTCCCTCTCTTTGAAACTTTCCTTTTATTTCCACAGTCTTCTTTCTGTCTTCTTTTTTCATTTGGGTTTTCCTGCTTAATTTGATTATCTTTGTCTTATGTGTATGGAGGTATTAATGGTGGTTGGATATGTAAGTCTCATTAAAAATCCATTGTTTTTAACTGGGAGGAACCTGTATGTGAAATCAGGAAGGCTATGTTGAAGGAAAGGGAGGGGAGAAATAATATGTGTTAAAAGTATATGTGTACTAAAGTGAATTAAATGCAAATGAAATAAGATCTTGTGCACAGGCTGTGGTTCATTGTAGTGGGCCCGAATTTGAGGAACCTCTTAGGGTTCCTATAGAATCCTAACATTTTGAGTTCACATATAAGAAGGTGGGACCACATTTTAGCATCAAGAAAGCACAGTGCTAGGGGAAGCTAAACCCCTTCCTTTTCTTACCTTCCCATCATTCTGGGCACTTTTTCCCAGCTGAATGTCTATATCCAAAGTGAGTTGGACTGTGTAATAGATGGGGAAGAGATAATGGAGGGATTGTTTTAGCTGTTCCTACCTGTCCACCCTTTCTGATGTTAAAATGAGACATCCACCTCACATCATATGAGAGCAACATAGATATTGATCAAACAAATATAAGTGTCCCATCATTTTTAATTAGGTCTAGGATACTCACCTTAATTTCATCCTGCTTTTCACTGCCCCCTTCCCATTTGAGTCCCCCTTAAATGCATTTTTCTTGTAGCTATCACTTTGCCCAGGATCATCTCAAGAGTTGAGAGCCTTGCCAGTGAAGGAAGATTTACTTCTATCCTGATTGGGTCACCTTCTGGTTTTTTCTTCCTAGGTCAACTTTCTGTTTCTTATTACATTTAGGCCCCATCTTTCCTCTAAGGAGCTAGTGGCGGAGCTTCATGCTTCGGCACCGGGGGGGGCAGAGAAGGCAGGGGCGGGGCTGGCGCATGGCCCGGGGATGGGGCGCGCGTCCTGGGGGCATGGCACCCAGCACGGGCAGGGGGGCAGCCATGATGGCACCCCACCAGGATCGTGCTGCCAGGGGCGGTACGCTCCCCCCGCACTCCTCTTCCTCCGCCAGTGTATGTGGCTCCCGCCTTCCCATTTTATCCTCACAACAACCCTGTGAGGTAGATTAGATTGAGAGACAGCGACTGGCCCAAGGTCACTCATTGAGCTTCATGGCTGAGAGGGTGTTTTTACCCAGGTCTTCAAGCTAAGGGATGATGTTGTGGGAAGGGCTGTAGCTCAGTGGCTGAACATCTGCTTTTTGTGGTGGAAGTCTCAGGTTAACATCCTGATATCTCCAGCTATGGCTGAGAATTTCTCCTATCTAAAACCCTGAATACCTGATACCAGTAAGTGTGGACAGTACTGAGTTAGGCATGGGTGTAGCCAAAGGGGGGGCGGGGCAGAGGGCAGCTGCCCCCCTAAATCAAGTAATTAAATAGAAATACTTAACAACTTGGTTCTGCCCCTCCCCCGAAACATAAATCCTGCCTATGCCCATGGAGCTAGGTGAATCAATGGTCTGCTTCATTATAAGGCAATTTCCTGTGTTTTTATGTCTGATGAAATTCCTCACAGCCGGAAGTTTGTGCACTGCCTGCCTCCAGTATGATTTTTCTTTTTTTAGGATGAAGGAGCAGAAAAATATATATTGGTGAAAGAATGGATTGTTATTAATTGTAAACAGTTATTGGTGAGATTATTAGTTTCTGCCACTTAATATTTGTTGTTTCTTAGCCTACTGGCTAAGATCAAGTACAGTCATACCTCGGGTTAAATATGCTTCGAGTTGAGCGCATTTGAGTTGCGCTCCGCGGCAACTCGGAAGTAACAGAGCGCGTTACTTCTGGGTTTTGCCACTTGCGCATGCGCAGATGCTCAAAATGACGTCATGCGCAGAAGTGCCATCGCTAGTTACGTTTACCCCTAGATGCGAACGGGGCTCCGGAACAGATCCCGTTCGTATCTAGAGGTACCACTGTATAATATTTGTCGTTTGAAGCGTTTATTTTTTTAAAAAGGAAGCCATTACACAGTACTGTGTGTTTCTAATGTATGCTTAAGACTAGATGGAATTTCTTCTTCCTAATGAGTGAGACATATATATAATTCTATTCAGAGCACAAACAACTATCCTAATCTTATTAACTAACATTTCTTTGAAAATGTTTTTTTAAAAAAACAAACAGTGACTAGTTTTTTGTATGTTTTTGAAACTAGGAGACTGAAAGTCAAAATGAGGAGCAAATTAGCAAATTTGTTGTTGAAGTACAGGAGCTTGAGTGGCAAAAGGTTAGTGTTCTTCAAACAGTTAAAACTTGATAGCATCTGTTCTTAGTAATTTTGCCGTTGGAATTAATATCAGTATTGAAGAATGTTAAAATATGGTTTCTAATATACATGTTTCTATAGTGTTCTGAGGTTTTGTGGAAGCACTGTCAATAGAATTTATAAAATGTGTGTTTCTAAAGTCTTTGCTCTAAAGAGATGTAGGATTTGGCATATTTAGTGATTTGTTCTGTCAAAATTAAATGTGAAGAACCATTATATGAGGTACTTTGAATGCAGTACATTTGGTTCTAGCCAGTTTTATACTGCACCTTCACTCTTCTCTGAATCCAGAAAACACAGAGCACAGCTGTGTGTCTTCAATTATCCTTGGCTTTACAGGCAACCATAACATTTTGTACGGAAATTGGAATGCAAGTTGTCTCCTTAGGCACCATACGTTCTCTTGTTGCACTGCTGCTGTGGATGAGGGTGGCAGTTTTTAAAAATGCAATTCTAAATAAGCTGTAAATATTACTATCTCATGTGTACATACCTTAAAGTAAATGAGCGTTATAATAGCATTTTCATTCAGGTCCAAATTCATAGAGTTAAATTTTAATAGAAATGAATTTCTTCTGACTACACTAATATACCTATTCTTTTTCTTCTTGGTAGGAAGATTTGTTGCAAGTGTTGTTATTATTCTTGTATGCCTTCTTTAATCATTATTTGATTACTTATCTTCATTTTTTTGAATTTTTTATTTATGATTTTCAGGTTTATACATCTCACTAATTTTCACTAATTTGATTATTTATTTTTAACCAAGAAAACTTGAAAATGAAAATTTTTCTTAATGTATAATGAATGACACATCTTACTTTAAATATGTTTATATATTCCTTTTTAACTGTCTTGTTCTGCTTTAATTTAAATTGTCAAATAATAGGTAGCTCTTCAGCATCATAAAGAAGCATTAAACAAACAGCATACAGAAGCCATGACAGCTATTAAAAAAGAGGTACTCAATGAGTCTTTCTTCTCAGCAGTAATATATAACAAGTGGTATTGTCATTCATATTCTCAAGACCAGTTAAGTTGAACTACTCAAAAACAACAAGCCTGATCTAGTCTCAGCTATAATGAGAGCCTTGTTGTTGGTGATGAGTATGTACATGAAGTTCCTTGAAGTTGGGGAGGTGGATAGGAATGACTCAATTTTTGATAGGAATGAATCAATTTTTGAAAATGTACTACCTTAAATAAAAAGTTACACATGTTGTTTGATCATACTATTTAAATTTGTTTCCTTCTTGTGGCAATTCTAGTTCCAATCAAGACTATTTGCTGCAGAAGAAGAAAAGGTAATGATATGACTCATTTGTCAAAAAAAAGCATAGTCAGTTAGTGGTTGGGATTCAGAGTGCTTAGTGTGGGCTTCTATGTGTTCATGGGGAGTTTTCAGCTTTTCCCTTCCAGTGGCAGCCCTTGCAGCCACTGAAAAGTTCCCACCAAAGACCGAGGACTCTGTAGAGCATCTCTGCATGAGAAGTATCAGGTGTTGCCTTGTGCATATATCTAATGCTTTGATCATATTAGGGTTGCCATATGTCCGGTAAATCCCAGACATGTCCTCTTAGGGAGGGCCAACATGCTGATCTAGGTTTTGCTTTTTTCCATTTTAAAGGAAATGTCCAAGTTTGTTTGTTTATGGGGTTTTTTTGGCTCAGACTCAGGTGCGGGCGGCTTGGGCATGAGTTGTCTGGACTTTGTTTCCCTGGCTTGGACTATCCTCTTTTTTGCACTTCAAGATATGGCAACCTTAGATCAGGGGTCAGCAAACATTTTCAGCAGGGAGCCAGTCCACTGTCCCTCAGACCATGTGGGGGGTTGGACTATATTTTTTTTTTTTGGGGGGGAGAATGAATTCCTATGCCCCACAAATAACCCAGAGATGCATTTTAAATAAAAGCACACATTCTACTCATGTAAAAATACCAGGCAGGCCCCACAAATAACCCAGAGATGCATTTTAAATAAAAGGACACATTCTACTCATGTAAAAACATGCTGATTCCTGGACTGTCCGCGGGCTGGATTTAGAAGACGATTAGGCTGCATCCGGCCCCCAGGCCTTAGTTTGCCTACCCATGCCCTAGATCATATACAAAAGCTGTAAGAGATTCCAACCTGAGTAAGGCATAAAGATACCAAAGATTGTTATCATAGTATCCCCATAAAGTTTGTTGAGTAACACTTTTGGAAGTAGCCTAAATCTTTGAGCACAACTTTTACATTAGTAAATTGTTATAGTAGATTATCTGACAAATGCAAAAAGAAAAATGCGTGTGTAAAACTTAATGCAGAGTCTCCTCAAATTCTGTGACCTCAAGCTGATGGCTGAAAAAGTGGAAGCATATTTCACACCAAATCAGGAGTGAATGTTCATCCAGTGCTACAAAGTAAACACACTGTGGATTAGTATTTTTAACTGAAAAGAGTATAAAAATTGAAAATGTCAGAGTTTGCAAAGTGTTGTGTTAATACAGTTCCTTGCACCATTGAACAGAACATGTGGATAATTTTGTAACAATTGCATGATAGTGATCAGTTATATGATCCAACAGAGAGGGAGTAAGCAGAGCAGCAACGCTGCAGAATAATCTAAAGACAAGGGGCAGTGTATTTTTCCGTAAAAGAGTCGTCTCAATAGTCTCTGAATAGAGAATGTGGCATATTTATTTTGAGGAAGTAATGTTGAAGTCAACTGAATGATGACAGGATCCATTAGGGATCCATTAGTAGGCTTTTATCACTCTTTATTTGAACCCACTGTGCTTTAGTATAGTGTGCTATTGAAGTGAATGGAGTTTTGTGTTGCAGTGTTTTGAAGAACAGAAGTAATTATCCTCAAGACATTTGCATATAGAATAGATTATGATGTACATAATTATTAATACATCTGAAGAGACCTGTTCTTATGTCCCTTAGCTGAGAAATTTGTCATTTTATATTTCCTTTTTCTAACAAAATATTATGTTTCTTTGAAGGGAAAATGTTTACTTGCTATGGAATCAAAAGAAAGAGAAATGGAAGGACTGAAAGAAACATTAAAAATGTTACAGGTACATTAGCTCCACACTCATGCAGCCTGATTTATTTGGGCCCTGTTGCAATAGAGTGTCCATGCAGCAGCCAAGACTGTGCATGGTTAGTCGAGTAAAGCAATTTGCATTTCTACCAATTAACAATTAGTTGGTGGGGGAGCAGGGACACAATGCAGCCCCCTACTTTCTTTCCCAAACAAGAGGTTGTCTAATCCAGGACTTTTTGCATGGCTCCTACATTGGGCTGGGGAATCTATTCAAGTGATCTTTTTCTGCTGTTCCTTGAAAGAGCTTAAGGCACCATATAACCACAGAAAATAAAATAAATGACTCTTATTACAAAAAAACTATGAGGTAGAATAGTCTTAGTAATTGTCTCAACACTATTCCTACTACATCAGACTAGTTCTTTTGTCTTATTTTGTATATACAATTCCTCATCTAGCGTTCTGTTTGCATCTTAACTGAACTACACATGCAGCAGACTCTCCAGAGTCCTGTGGAGCAAAATGGCCAAGAAGACCTTTTCCACAATTCCTCAGATAGCCAATAAAGAAAATCAGGCAAGAGAAGGTAGCAGTTCTTCTCAGAGTTCCATACTTACCTTGTCATCTGTGTTTCTCAGATTTAGTAAAACAATTCATTAGTCCAGAAAAAATGAGGGTTTTTTCTCCCATTAGGAAATACCATATTTTTCGCTCTATAACACGCACCCGACCATAACACGCACATAGTTTTTAGAGGAGGAAAACAAGAAAAAAAAATATTCTAAACGAAACAGTGGATGTATGATTTTTTTGGTTCATGCTGTGGCCACAGACGTGATCTGACAGTGAGTTTGGGGTAGCCCAATGCAAAAATCCTGAGGATCCATGTGGATCCATGCTTTGTAACCACGTTTTTGCACAACTGTGGCCCCAAACAATAGTGGGTGCATGATTTTTTTTGGTGCAAGCTGTAGCCATGGACATGCTATGTGATCTGATGGTGAATTTGGGTGACCCAGTGCAAAAATCCTGAGGATCCATGTAGATCCGTGCTTTGTAACCACGTTTTAAGGGGGGAGGGAAGGGAAAGCACTCAAGGGACAAGGAGCACGCGTGGGGTGTGTGGAGAAGGATGCTGCTAATAATGCAGAAGAGGGGTATAAGAGGAGAAGGCTCCTCTCCTCTCCCGCTTTGCTCCTTTAAAGCAAGCAGGCTCTCTGTCCCTCTCTCCTCCCCACTCAGCGTCTCTTCTTCCGCTTTGCTGTTTCAAAGCGAGCCACGGAGGAGGGAAGGAAGGGGAACCATGGATCCTCTGCTCACGACTGCAGCAGATCCCCCCGCCATCCGTAGGCATTCGCTCCATAACACGCACAGACATTTCCCCTTACTTTCTAGGAGGAAAAAAGTGAGTGTTATGGAGCAAAAAATACGGTACTTCATGAGAAATCCACTCTTCAATCCACTCTATTTAAAGGAGTGACTTTCCCACAGAGCATAGTTGCTCACTTTGTTAGAGGAGCAGTAATTTTGCCAGCCTTTGAAATCAACGCTCATTTGGATGAGATTTACAAAACTCATCCCATTCAATCATTTTTATGAAATTGATGCAGTTTTACAGTGCAGTAAAATGGACGCGGGTGGCACTGTGGGTTAAACCACAGAGCCTAGGACTTGCTAATCAGAAGGTCGGTGGTTCGAATCCCCGCGACGGGGTGAGCTCCCATTGCTCGGTCCCAGCTCCTGCCAACCCAGCAGTTTGAAAGCACGTCAAAGTGCAAGTAGATAAATAGGTACCGCTCCTGCTGGAAGGTAAACGGTATTTCCGTGCGCTGCTCTGGTTCACCAGAAGCGGCTTAGTCATGCTGGCCACATGACCTGGAAGCTGTATGCCGGCTCCCTCGGCCAATAAAGCGAGATGTGCGCCGCAACCCCAGAGTCGGTCACGACTGGACCTAATGGTTAGGGGGTCCTTAAAATGTTCACAGAACTTTCTTGAATGAACAAGAAAAAAAAAAGAACCCAAGAAAAAATTGGACTTACCATGAAATTTTATTTTCCTTGGTAAAATGAGAGCAAATTACCCTGCTACAGTTCTGGGTGTGGGATAGGATCTTAGAATAGTTATCCCCTTGATATTCATAGGAATTCCTGTGGACATCTTATTTTTCTTCTTCTTTGGGATTGACACAGCTATTCTTTCAGGTTGTTAACAATTATACTTCTGAAGTTCAGTGTTAGGCTTGTTTAGTTCTTCTGATGAAAATTCCAGCCTTGTCTGCAGTAGTAGTAGGAGCTTCATCCTAAAGTAAACATTTCACCCCTCACCAGCAAGAACAAAACTTCACAGCAAGACACTTAATTAATTTCCCCTAAACATTAACTCTGGAGTAATTTAATTAAAGATAATTGGGCTGCTCAAATGAAAATGATTAAGTTAGATTTGTTTGTTCTAAGTTGAATAAGTTTTATAAAATAAGATCGATTTAGAAAGGGAATCAAATAAAATATTAGACTAGACCAGACCAGGAAAATTAAATTTATTAAAGTATATTCTGAAATCATACAAAAACCATTCAAACTTCCTCCATGCTATTAAACACTCAGACATATGTAAATGTCAAGTTAAAGTTAAATGTAAATTTAACTGTTGACCATAGGGCATTTTCCCAACCCAAACTGTTCTTGCTGTTCTTCACGATCCCTGAATTACTCAAAAGTGCCTTTTCACTATGCAACAGTGGACATTTTGCTTGTCATTAATATTGTGCTGATTATACTAGTTTCTCATTAACTTTATAGATAGCTTGATTATGTTGATGCCGTTCCTTTTTTTTTTAAATAATCTGGTTAATGCTGAGATTATTTTAAAAGCAATTCCTTCACATTGCTGACCTTCTGTGCAAAAGGCTGAAAGGATTTGTTATGTCCTGCTCAATTCATGACACAGCACAAGTGATATATAGTGTACTTCATGGTTGGCTGAACATGATACATGGACTGAAAGAGTAATAAATGCTCCCTTGCTTTTCTTAACTAAGATATAGTTGGGGGGGGGAGAGAAACCATTCAGCAATGGAATCTGATTTAAATTCACCACAACAAAGGCATTCAGTAAGTCAGTTTTCAGCCAACTGGTATGTCAGATGCACTAACAGCAGTTCATGCAAACATTTTAATCATATGTACAACAAGCAGACCTGCACTCTAACACTGGAACTCGCACGAGATAGCCATTTTCCTTCTTTGAAGAGGCAAATCATAGGTTGAAACCCGATGAAGAAGAGCTGGGTGTCAGGGGCTGGCGTGGTCTGGGATCGTTCCCTCAGGTCCAGCCCTCCGCACCAGACTGCCATTGGCCAATTGGCTGACATGGAGCAGGATTTCAAGCCGGGAGTGCGAGCCGAAGCTCATGTCCTGGCAAGGAGAGACCCCTACACACAGCCATGCATCGTCAGCCGGTGGGGGTGGGGGGAAAGCGCTGGCCGTCCCACAAAGCCACCGCACCCCTAAAAGGAGGTGAGCGGACTTCTGCTCATTGAGGAACAGTAGTCTCAGGTTAATTTGTTCTTCTGGTGGTACATTGCTCATATGAGTAGATTATTCTACTCATGAGCAATAATTTGTAGAAGTGAGCTCATTCAGGTTTAGCCTGCTTCTATGCTCTACTACACATTGGCAGCAAAGCACAGGATCAATATTTTTTCACCTTCGTCTGATGCTGGGAGTGGGACTTAGTCTCTCTACTGGCACAGTAGTGGTCATGCCCCAGCATTGTAGAGAAATATAGAGATTCTTTTAGGTGGGTAGCGATGAAAATGAAACAAGACTGGCATAATAAGGATAGCATTTTGTGCCACATTCTAAGGGGAACCAGGGTGACCTTGCTGCTTGCATGGGTGCAAGGTTGTACTGGCAAAATGGTACAAGAAACAGTATGTGAACAGATACTGAAGAAGGTGGTTTCCCTTCCAGTGAATGAGAACTTACTTGTTTCAGCACAAGCCCCTGCTTGTACCACAAGGGTTGATCAGTGCTTAGGACTGGGCTATAATAATCAATCTTACCTTAATCTTTGAGTTATACAATTGGAAATTTAGAAGCAGCCAGTTCTGCTCTGGCAAGAACTTCAGTGCATAGAAAAGTCATAGGATGATTGAATGCAACATTTATTATATGCTGATCCATAAACCTGGCACAAGACTGTAAGCTTTATTATATTCATGCAGACGTACAGGTGAAAAGGAAATGCAACAGGGGAATAGTGTGGCCTTTCAGAGCCACATTATATTATACATGTAGCAGCAGTGAGAAAAGTAATATGGCATAATACTGGGAGTTGATGCCATGATCAACATTCATCTCCAGTATTTTTTGCCTCGGTAGAGAATGGTACCAGTAAACTTCCCTCTGTAGCAAATAGCAGCTCAGGGCGGGAAGCAGTTTTCACTGGGACTGCAGTTCAGGAGGAAAGGATTAGACCCATTCCATGCATGCCATGATCTTACTCTAGGAAGCTGCAGAGTTTTAAAAATGATCAGCAAATGACCTGTTTATTGAGCATTCTACTTGCTTGTTTTCAGTGAGAGTAGATGATGCTATTATTTACCGTATTTTTTTGCTCTATAAGACTCACTTTTCCCCTCCTAAAAAGTAAGGGGAAATGTGTGTGCGTCTTATGGAGCGAATGCAGGCTGTGCAGCTATCCCAGAAGCCAGAACAGCAAGAGGGATTGCTGCTTTCACTGCGCAGCGATCCCTCTTGCTGTTCTGGCTTCTGAGATTCAGAATATTTTTTTTCTTGTTTTCCTCCTCCAAAAACTAGGTGCGTCTTGTGGTCTGGTGCATCTTATAGACCGAAAAATACGGTAATTCTGATTTGGTTGTGGAGAAGTTAGAGGAAGCTGTGTCAAAACAAGTATTATTCCAGAGCATTTTCCCATCACTTTCCTTACTGCAAAAAAGTCTGATCTTTTGGCAAAGAGGGTTTGTTGCACAAGACCTCCCCACCAATTATAATTGTGCAACTTGAACTAGCCAGTAAGTGATTGCATCCCACGTGGAACTAGTGTTAGTGTGGAGGTGCACAGAGATCCAGCTTCCAGTGGTGCATTTTATCATTTGTGCCCAAGAAGGGTATTATAAACATAATGTGGGGAGAAGCTTTGAGGTGGAATAAATGGAATATGATCACTAGAGCCTCAGTGATAAGAAAAACTAAGCAAGGCATAAAAATAGAAAGAAAATAGTTGTAAGGAGAAAGATTGTTAAGAGAGCTGTTTTTTCTGAACACCTTTATAAACATGCTTGTAAACAGGCACAAAGTTGGACTCCTGAGATGAGTAAAATCAGTCAGGGAAACTTTACAAAAATTGAGAAATGATGCATTTCATTGTCGTCACAGCAGTATCCACTTTTTAATGATTTGCACAGACTCAAAAGAACTGTGCTTTCTCCCCTCTTCTCTCTCAATGAAGAAATAGATGTCATAGCATCCACTCCAGTAAGATATACATAGGCTGTGTATACACTATACTTTTAAAGCACATTTGAATCATATTCTTTCCCTCAAAGAATTCTGGGCACTGTAGTTTACCCCTCTCAGAGTTACAATTCCCACCAGCCCTTAACAAACTACATGGCCCAGAATTCTTTGAGGGGAAGATGGATTTCCAAAATGCTTGAAATGTATAGGATTTATGCAGCCAGACTCAAAAGAACTGTGTTTTCCCCACTCTGTCTAAAGGCAAAAATAGATGATATGTTAGGCATGTGTTTTTCCCTTGTGTAACTGTTGTGGTGTCTGTGCTTAAAAAAACAAGCAGCCTTGGAACGGGGTGGGGGTGGGGCACAGAAAATCCAAGCAGGATCAGGAATGTGGTAGAGGGGTGGGTTAACTCTTTGCTTCCATCATTGTTCTAACTATAATAATGCCCACCACTGCCATTTGCAATGGGGAGGAAAGCTGTCATTGATATCAGTTGGTGCTTTCCTCCCATTGTGAATAGTTGTGCAGGAAGTCCAGTTCTGATTAGTACCAGTCCATGATAGGGGCAAAGAGTTCAAGCTCCCCACCCACATACCAAGGTTCCATTATGGTTCAACCCACTGCCTTCTTCTTTTTAACAGCTATGTACCGTAACAGCTGCTTGGCAAATGTTATATCCGGTTTGGCTTTCCATGCTCATGAGCATACATGTAGGCAGCATGGTAGGTTGTTAGAGGCAATGGGGCATCCTATGTGCACACTGCTCCCATCCACAGCCAGCTTTCCTTCTTAATTTAATTTATTTGTGCTCCAAGCACGGGTAGTCTGCACTAAGGAGAGGCAGAGAGGTGGATGGTAATGAGTACAGAGCCCCTTCTAACATACTAGTGTTGCACCCATGCCCATAAGGAAGGTGGGAGGGGATCATGCCCTTGGTTCCCTCCACTTCCCTTTTTTTAACACCATAAATAAATAACCTGAGTATGTGTAAGCTGGCCGCCTATTAGCAATGTGGGTTTATTTTCAAGGCTTTTCATAATATATGCAGGCATTACATTTCTGTTATAAGTTTTACCACTTTTCCACTTCCTTGAAACTAGCAGAATTACAATTAATTGCTAATGCATTTTAAATCATTAATGGTTTTCATTATTACAGATTTCAAAATACTCTTTGCAAAAGAAGCTTAACGAAATGGTAAGAGCTACAATAGCTATAAAAATGTCAAAGGCTTGCATCCTAATTTTTTGCTTCTGTTCATGTAAGGATGGTTTCTCTCATTAAATGACCCCTTTCCATGAACGCAACCATCATTCTGTGAGTGGAAGACCCTTTTTCATGTAGCAAAATGTTAGGGTTCTTTGCATTTTATAGTTACAGGTTATAGAGGTGTTGGTATATATTCAAATATCCTTCTGAGTATTGCAGAGGTGCTTATCCAAACTTCCCTTAATCTTTGGATTTATTTATTTATTTGTTAACAAAATTGGACTTTATTTTGTGTAGCATTATTTTTCTAACTTTCCTTGCTAGTATAATAACTTAAGTGTTTGCGAGGAAAATTACATTTAAACTTTATGGTTTGGTTAAACTTACTTCTTTTCAGGCTAATATTTATAATTAAAATGGTATGAAAGACGCAGTCAGTGTGTTACTCTTCTTCCAGTGTAACATAGAAGAATTAAGTGTGCCAGTTCAGTTTAGTCACTCTGCTGAACCACTTTTGAAATTAAAGAGAGCTGTTGAAACATTGCTAAGCTTGATTGACTAAAAGCTGTGAAAATTCTGCTGCTGCTCAACTGGAAAGAATAAAGATAATATTGTCAGACCATTATAAACTGTGATTTTAATTAAGAAGCTCAAAAACTAGAGTCCGGTTTAGCCTTAAGTACCATGACATTTGTACTGAAAGTCATCTTCAACGCTACAGTGATTTTACACAAAATATGGTGAAATTGAATAATGTGTCCTTTGACCTGGGAGATAAGGCTACAAGTTAAAGATCAAAGGCAACATAAAATGTGTTTTGTCCTATTTCACTTTTAAGTTAGGCTTCTTGTTTAAGAAGTATGTGTAATCTATTTTATCCATACAAATATTAAATTAATGATCATGCAAAATTATTGCAAATAATCTATTTATTCTGATAAACCATGTCCAGCCTTGTAAACTGTTCCTGTGCTTGCAAAAAAAATTGTTTGCATAAAATTTGTTGTACACATCCATATGCACAATTAAGAGGAAAGAGATAAACTATGTGACAAGTTATGGCATTTACTCATGCATAGAACTGCACCAGGAGAGGCTTGTTAGCTTTCTACTTAACATGGCAGTCTAGGGTGTCTGCTTTTTGTGGATACTCAAGTTAGTCCACTGTCTGAAACAACAGGCTGGGTGACTATGCAAGAGAGGGTTTACTTACCACTACACACCCCAGCCTCTCCTTTCTAATGGGATAGGCTCCTCTCTTAAGCAGAAGTCCTCAGTTCATGAACTGGCCCTAGCCTGCCATTACAAATGACTGAGACATCTACCTGCTCTCCAAACAAGTCTCCTCAGTGGTAATAAAGAAGCTACCATTAAAAAAATTCATATTCATGCCAGCGTTAGGGCTGAGTTTCCTTTCATATCCAGAATTTGGCTTTTGGTACATGGTGAGTTCAGTACATATTACAGCTTATCGCATAGCGAAGTGATTGCTTGGTTTCTCTGCTACTTAGGCAGATTGCTTTTTAACTCACAGTGAAGTAGGGGAATGTTATTGACCTCATCATCAGTTGAAAATAATGTGGAAAACAATAAGGCAGCTACTTGGTCACGCAGCAAGCTGAAATGTGTATTAAACCTGCTGCATGGTTTTAGCTAGTCTCATTGTGAGAACTGAGGCTTCACAATAAAGTTAAAAGAGAAAAAGTAGTTTCAGAACTGAAGCCTTTATATTTTCGAAGTACCAAGATGGGTGGCATAAATTTTAACATCCAAATTAAATGAACGTAAGTTATTTTGCAGCCAATTAAATGTAGACCCTTTGAAAATAGTAAACTAGGAGCACACATAGCAGGACATAGCATAACTGGGTGCAGCATTTGCAGTTATACTTACTATGACATGAAATCACTGGGCAAGGCATTTTAGAGTACAGGAACTTCCAAGCAGAAGAACAAGAGATAAGCAGGGATAGTTGAGAGCCAATGCAATAATAGAACAATAAATGCAAGGAAATAGTTCTGAGGTCATTTTGACCAGAAGAGTGTTTGAATAATTAACCATTAGAAAGACCCAAACTTAGAAGTCATACTTGACCTTCTCAGGAACTAAAATTTATGAACTAGAATCTGTTCAGTGGCTTATGTTATGATAAATTAGCGTATAATATTGGTCTTGACAACTGAATCCACACATATATTCACTGTTAGTCTCTTAAACTTCTATCTTTAGTTGTATGCCCCCGCAAAGGAGTATGTCATTGAAATGGAATATAATCTGTTACTTACTAATTTTGAAAAAAAAAGTGTCACCCTTCAATAAAACAATATAATAACACTATATATATGCTGCCCTGTGCTGCTTTGGAAGGAAGGGCAAAATATAAATGTAATACGAATAAAGCAGTACAAAACCAAACAGCAGAAGCAGCAGTTTTTTAAAAAAAACTTACACAATTCAACAGATTGGATAAAACCATAGTTTATATTGGGTTACATGATATGCTAAAATGCCCTGGCAAGTACAACTTATGACACCTAAATGTAATGTGTTTCTAATGTTGTACACTGCCTTGAGATCTTTTGAAAAAGGGTGGTATATGTAGCAGGGAGAGAAATAGACAAGAGTCGCAGATGATGATTGCAGAGTTCTGGCAACTTGTGTGGTAAAAGGGGGTCCTAATCCAGCTGTTAGAGCTAGAATTGTGCTTTGACAGTTTGGTTACCTAACTTCAGGGGACCATCAGTCTTGTCTGTTTACACCAGGGGTGGGGGCCCTTTTTCTGCCAAGGACTGCATTCCCTAGGGGTAATTTTTTTGGGTCGCTTACTAGCTGTGGTTGAAGCTGGAGTTTGCAGTGGGAAGGATTGGAGCCAGCAGTTGGTAGGTCTGAAGCCAAAAGTGGGTAGAGCATCCCACTTTCCTCTTTGCGCCATCCCTTTCCTCTGTCCCCGCTTTTCTTCCTTTATCCTTTCCATATTATATCTGCCATCTTACTCTAGCAGTGCACAAAGCATGCTTCAGTAGAACATTCCTGCTAGGCTTTATCATTGCTCTTTTTGAGTGTTACCCAATCCTCTCAGGAAGCTGCACACTGCAGCAGGGGAAGAATGAGAGTGGTGAGCAAACTACTTTTGGGATAAACTTACCTGTCATTGCCAATCTTGGTGTTAAAGAACTTGGTTAAACTTCCAAGGAATGCCTTTAGAAGGGGTAGCAAACTCACATATTGTGATCACATCCTGCCCCACTAGAGTTTCTTTATGGCAAGAGTGGAGAACATTTTTGGTCCATAGTGAAAAGCTTTATCACACCCTTCCCCTATGCCTCTGCACTCTGTGCCTGCATTTCTGTTTTAAAAAACAGCCAGGAGATGGGTGGTGTGTGGATCTCCCTGTATCACACATAGTTTGATCTTTGTTATTGGGGAGCAAGAGAAGTGCCTGCATGCAATTGCTTGGAGTTGTGGAAATAAAAATAATAACAAAATACATAATAATAAAAAATTAATATCTAGAAAGCTAAAAACAGATTAAAGCACATGTTGACACATTTTGCCTGGGCTTCAAGACTGAAAGCGCTGGCTCTGACCAGGAAAGCCTCTGCTGATTCTCTGTATCACTTGTTGCCTTATCCATACCATTAGCAATGATATTCCTGACAGTGGGAGTGGGGAGGAAATAGGGGAGGCACAGTTCTACAGTGGCTTCTGTCCTACCTTACAGGGATCTTTAATAACTGTGCTGGAAGATTATTGCCCTTCCACGTGGGATGTCAGCACAATTTCTATGTATGCTTATTTAGAAGTAAGCTCCACTGTGTTCAATGGGGCTTACCTCCCAATAAGTGTGTTTATCATTCCTGCATCGTCTAATTTATAAAGTTAAGACATCATTCCATATGAAAAGTTCGTCTTTAACTATTTTCTTTTCTTTCTTTTCTTTAACACAGGAGCAAAAGTTGCAATTACACGTGTTAGCAAAGGAGGACCATCAGAAGAGTCTGAACGAAGTTGAAAAATGCCATACAGTTATCACATGTCAGCTGAGAAAAATAAAAGATGCTCATGCGAGATTAGAGCAGAATGGTAAATAAATATGTGATGAACCTAAGACATGATCCAGCCCTTATGTGTGAAGGCTGAGAAATACAGCAAAACCCATGGGAGCAGGGGAGAATGACAGCTTACCCCTTATTGGTGGTCTTCCACAAATATTTGAGGATGAGAAGGAAGTGACTAGATGGACAGAAATGTAGTGGCACACTCACAGCCAGCAACTGGATACAAGTACAGTGGTACCTCAGGTTACATACGCTTCGGGTTACCTACGCTTCAGGTTACATACGCTTCAGGTTACGGACTCCGCTAACCCAGAAATATTACCTCGGGTTAAGAGCTTTGCTTCAGGATGAGAACAGAAATTGTGCTCTGGTGCCGCAGCAGCAGCAGGAGGCCCCATTAGCTAAAATGTGCTTCAGGTTAAGAACAGTTTCAGGTTAACCTGAGGTACCACTGTACAAGATTGAGGGAGGCAGGGAGCAGGACATTTAATCAGTTCATATTTGCTCCTCCCCAAGTCCTGAGATGTGGCATATTAATACATTATTATTATTATTATTATTATTATTATTATTATACTCTATTTACAGCAAAAAACAAAACATAATGTCACTATCAATACAAAAAATTATAAATTCAAGATAAAATTAACCAACCAGCCTTGACTAATACCTATGTAGTTCATAAATTGTGTCTAATAGTACATGCTGTTGTACATCTTCCTTATATAGATAGTGTCAGGTGGTTTAGTTGGTAGCCACACCAACTGTAGCTTGATGACAGGGTGACAGATGACCCAGACAAGCTGTTTAACAGAGGTAGGGGGGTGCTTCACAAACTGTTCTGTTAAGTGCCACCCCCCACCCCACAGCTGCGTCAAGGTTTAACAAGGTAGCAGGGCAGTACTTCAGAAAGCCACTTTCTATAGCACCTGGTTAGCTATGAGAGGGGAGAGGGGGTTTTGGGTTGACTGATAGGGTTGGCCAGATGTAACAGAAGGAGGAGTTGGCCTGGTGTAGGGGGAAAGGAGTGTTGGAAATATTTGTAAAGGGTTCGCTCTAACCGGGGAGATTACTACTTAACCAATCAGACATTAAAGCACTCCTTCCCATCACAAGTACACAGTTACAAAACACTGTCATCATCTGTAAACCACTCAAAATCATTTTTACTCAGAATAGACCAATTAAACATTAATTTAATTTCAGAGGGTCTGCTCTGAGTAAAATATAGCTGAATACCACCACCCTATGTATTACATATTCTTAAAATTCTATTCTTAAAAATCGATTATCTTTTCAAAACAAAGATGTATGAGATTTTAATATACTTTCAATATTTTAAGATAATTTCAGTATATGTGCAAAGTAAATGCTTAAAAATGTTAAATATATTATGATTATATATTAAAATATTCAATATATATTAGCTGGTTCTGTTCAACAAGAAAATAATGTATTTCTTGTACTAACTTTTACTGCAGAGGAAATTCATATGATACTGCAGCAACATTGGTAATCACCATGTATATTCTGAGCATGAAACTACTGTCTCTTGAAAAGTCCTATGGAAGGTCATGTATTGAACAAGAAATGTCTTCCACTTTCCAAACTACTGATATTAATCTCTTTTTGCTTAATCACATGTAAAAACTTGCTAGATTTATTCTTTTATTCCCCTTCCTTCCCTCCTCTTCCCCTTCTTCATAAAAAGGGATTACCCGCTCTGGGATCCCACAGCTAATTCTCCCCTGGTATCCTTGCTGGCCCAAATAGGACTAATTTAGCCAGATAGCCCTGGTGATCATCTAATGTTTATTGGACGGATTTCCCCCCTAAATTGATTTTTGAATTCTGAGTTTATTGTCATTCACATTTTATACTGTATTTCATGCTGTTTTTTGTTGCATCAATTAAGTGTTTTAAATTTGTTGTTAGCTGCCCTGAGCCCGGTTTTCTGAACTGGGAAGGGCGGGGTATAAATAAAATATTATTATTATTATTATTATTATTATTATTATGGTTTTAGGTTTTATTTCAGTATGCACCAATTTTACGCTGCATAAATATTTTACAAATATATGGCAAGTGGGTGTCAAAACCCGATTTCTAAAAAAACCCCTCCACCTATCTCCAATTTAAGAAGTGAAATATATGAACTCTATAGGACAAAAGTGGAATATAAAAGACACATGGAAATAATATATGAAACTGAGTAATCACACATACAGCTGATTACTCCTATTTTCCAGAGGGATTGTCAACATCTGCCTCTGGACATAATTTCCCCACAAGAAAACAAACACATACAGATTCTGTAGGTTACATTTATTCTGTAGAAAATTCAGACATAAAAGTATTTTAATATTAGTTCTTTACTTTTTTTATCTTATCCAAACCCATTCATAAGTTGTGGAAGCAATTCAACTCAATAAGAAATTGAGAGCAGTGAACGCAAGACAAAAGTCTGAGATAGATAACCTAAAAGAGGTAGGTGTATTGTATTGTATTTTATTTATTTAATTATATATCTATCCCACCTCTTCTCAAAGTGGTTGGCAAAAAGCTAAAAATGAAGGAAATATGAAAAGGCCACAACTTATCCAGTTAAATGTGTATGAAATATAGAAATATAAAATTACCATATATCTGCTTAATCCTGCTTAAGAGCAGCCTAAACATGAAAGTTTTACAACACTTTCAGAAGGCATGCAGACTTAGGTTTTAACAGACCCTAGGGGAGGTGTGTTCTAAAACGGAGGAGTGGTCACCAAAAATATCTCCCTCTGTATCCTTGCTGTTTGAACTTTGTGATTATAATCAAGAACGGATGCTCAGCTCGTCTTAAAAGTCGCAGTGGATTTTATGTGAGAGATTAGTCTCACAGGTCTGTTAGGCCTGAGCCAGCAAGAGATTTGGAAGTCAAAGCCAGCAAGTAGAATTGTGCCTTGAAAGTAACGGAAAGGCTCTGCAATTGTTTTATAGGCCCTTGGCAATATACTTGTGAGAGTAGGTGGGCTACACCAACTAGTATTTGTAAACAGACAGTGTAATGTATTAAGGGTGAATTGATATGACAGTGAATGATTGCATGGGCTTTTCCATGGATCCCATTAGCATCCAGTTTTTATGTATACATACATACTTGTTCAGATTGTGGGCAGTTCAGGCTGTAGTCATAAGTCTTCAGAAACCAAAGAACCCATATGCAAGTGGATACCTGGAGCTGGTGTGGTGAAAAATTTGTAAAGAAACTGCCCTCTTCCCATCTCTCCTGGGGATGCAGCAGTATTTCTGCAATGTCACTCCTTATCCCACTTCAAACTGCTAGGTACATTATATTCCTCTACTAGAGTTATGCAACAAACTAGCCCAGACAACAGCTTGAGCAACACCCAACTTTATGCAAACAGATGTCTCCTTTGCTTCCTCTCCCATGCATCCACCTGTGCTTCCCGAATCTGCTCCAGAGGGTCCCAGGGTTCTGCCAACTGCTTCTGTTCTGCTGGCGGAGGGGCACTGTTGGAACTCTCTGTGAACAGATTGCCCTCTGCCAGAACCATAGCAGCTGAGCAACCTCTCTAAGCTCTTAAGAACCCTTCCCCATCATCAACAGGCAAATAGATGCCAATACAAAAAAGAAACAGAATTTCCACAATAATTTGAGTGTTTGTTTTCCATACCGACAGGTTTTTGGGGAGGGGAGGAGTGAGAATGAGATCAGTGTTTATGACAATATTTTAGCATTCTTTTTTTTTGCATTTTAATAAGGTGTACAGCTTCTCATTGGCATATTGTGCCTTTTAAAATCCTTTCAAAAATTAGCTGCATTTTATTAATTTTATTAAATTGGTAGCTTGGGTATTTGGGTAGCTTGGCATTCATAAAATTCAGCAGCTCAGATAATAACCATTTCTACTTTCCACTGTTATATGATTTTGTCCAGAACAGTTAAACTATTGGATTGTGATAAGGGGAAATTCCACTTTTATGAAGAAAAGTTAAACAGACCAAACTTAGTTGCTGCTAGATAAAACTATTGCCATTCTGAATGCTTGGTTCAGTGCTGTGGCATCATGAAGAATTCTTGATATTATCTACAAACAGCATTCATAACCTTTGCTATTTGTCTGAGTAAACGTCAGAGCACTCAAGGAGAGAGAGATACTGAACAGGCTACCCCATACAAAAGAGGGAGGGGTGGGGGAAAGATGCAATATTTATGACTCCAGAGACTATACATTGTAATTTAATAAGATCAAAGCCTGTACTGTTTATTTGCTGTACTAGTTGCTTTAAACAAGCTAAGAAGGGCAGCAGACAGAATTGTGAAATAAATATAGTTGCAAAATATTAACATTTTAAAGGTAAACACAGGTCAAATATATTAAACTAATGTATTCTTAACTCTTCTGGGATGAAGCAGTGAGAGTACTTAGAATAATTAGTGATCTTCGTTTCTCCTTCTGTCAGTTGTTTAGAGTAGCAGCTCTTGTGGACTTTCTGGTATCACTGCAACACACAGTATCAGCCACAAACTAATGCAGTGTTCATTTATTTCTAGTTATAAAAAGGGCAACAGTGAAGCATTAAAACACCTATTTTTGTGAAAGCAGTGTAAATCTAAAATGTAAAATACATATGGGTAACCACACAAGGGACCTGTAACTGTGAAACATCATTTCAAAGATAAGCTGTCACTGTCAATTTTATTTATATTTAATGCCATTAATATTCTTGTCTCTGTATTTTGCTTAGAAGGGCATTAGTTGGAGGCGGAAAGATGTTTTGTCTTGCTTGGCATTGCAGAACTAATCTTGGGTGAACTATTTATGGTTGTTTCCTTATTAAGGAGCTAAAGAAAGTTACAGCAGACTTGATAAGGTCCAATGTCACTTGTCAGCACAGAGTGGGAGATGAAAATCTCAATCTTACAGCAAAGGAATGGGAGTTGAAAGAGCTACAGCAAAAATATTCAATGGTATTTGATAATTATTTTTTGCCAGTTAAGATTTCATGTTATTAATTTATAAAAATAGATCTATACTGATATTTTAATAGGTGTTTTCAGTGTGGTAGCACTGTTTTAAATTCTATAGTACTAGACAACTATAGTAAATATGCAGTGCAGTGCACTGCTAGGTAGTTTAATTTAATAGTTCCTATACTATATATAGTATAGTGTATAGTATAATGGTCATGCCGGATGTTAAAATCCTTTTCTATTTTTCTGTGTAAAATCTGTTATAATACTGTTGAATGGTAAATATGGCTATATAATATTGTTAGGGTACAATCCATTTGCACTTTGCATCCTCCCATTACCTCCTACACTCACTGCTCTGTATACAGGAGTTTCATGTTATCTGACCCCTCTTTTCTGCACTCTCACTCTCTCATGGGGTACTGTGCTTGCAGCACAAACCATAAGGGGCCAGTGACATGGTTTATTTCATTTATAGGAGAGAGAATTTAATATAAGACTCACTGAAGAAAATGCACAACTTAAGGAAGAAAAGCAGGTAATTTATATATTAATAATAATAATAATAAACAATAAATTTTATTTATATCCCGCCCTCCCCAGCCGAAGCCGGGCTCAGGGCGGCTAACAACAATAAAACAGTATAAAAGTACAGCATAAACAACACTCTAAAATCAATCATTATAAAATTAATTAATTAAGAATATATTATATATCAATGACATTTATTAAGAACATGTGCAATTAAAATTACAGCTTTGTATAGTAAACTTTGTAGTTCACTGAGATATGTATACTTTTAGGTCTTTTTTATTTGCTGTGTTAATGATGTGGTTGAACAGTTCCTTTTGTACCATAGCCAGTATGAAGCTGCAAGATGTTAAGTAACTGATGGCAGTCATTAAGCCATGGCAGTCATTAAGCCATGTTGTCAAAGGATGAATCCATATAAAGTTAAAATAAGAGTGCTTAGAGTCCTATGGCCTGGGGGGAAATGTACGACCATTGTTGAGAAGGCCTTCCCTGGTTACTCAGATAGACAGTTGAATCAGGACTGACCCACACATGAGACAAGGTGAGGCGACCACTTCAGGTGGCAGGATCCACAGGGACAGCAGATCCTGTCTCCAAAGAATGCATTGCCTGCTGCTGCTGTGAAACAGCTGCAGCACACTCCTTGGAGGTTGTATCTGCCATGTTGGAAGTTCCCCCTTGCCACCTCTACAGCGACCTCTAGGTGAATAGGAGGCACAGCTGGTCTCCTCCCATTCTCCCCTTGTTCCTGATGTAGGTATTCACTCACTCATTCTTCCCTGGTGGTTGCGGTGGTGCCATTTTGTGGCTTGCCTCAGGTACCAAAATGTCTTCGGCTGGCTCTGAGTTGAATCCAAACATTTCTATTCAGAAGCAAGCCCCATTAAGTTCAGCGAGACATACACTCATGTAAGTGTATGCAAGATTGCAGCCTTATAGTCAAAGGATGCTCCTTGACTTCATCATCACAACTGAAACTTTAGATTCTAGCAGTGGGTTGGGAGCGCTTTACTACCAAAATTTCAACTCCCAGCTCCCAAAGACATATGCATGAGATTGTAGCCTTAAATTGTGGATGTTGTGCTTTACCTAATCTGCTAATGCATTTTAAGAAAACTAAGAAAATATTTTATTGCTATAGAAATGGTAAACAAACACTCCACAAATACTTTATAATAGTAAGCCTACTCAAAGACAAGCTAAATATTTATTTATTTATTTATTTATTTATTTGTTTGGACAAGGTATTCAATCTGTAAAACATTTGTGTGAGTTTTACTACTGGCATTATAGATGTTTGATTCCAGTGTATTTTGAATTGAGAATCTCAAATATATAATTACTTTAAATCATATACGATGAGTTTGGTGATCTGATACTTGTTTTCACAATGCATGATACAAATTTGCATGACTTGGAGCATCTCTAGTATTGAAACCTGAAGACCCAAGAAACATATTAATTTGATGTGAAATAATACATCCTGAATTGGTAATGCTGTTTAGGTTTACCAATAGAACTTTACTGACATGACTGTTAAATTATGAACCTGTAATTAGTTATCTTTATATAATTTTCCCCCCTCCCCCCAATATTGTGCATGTTGCTTAGAAGCTCAGAATGGTCTAGTCATGGGAGCAATAAAACGCTGAATTTCAGCTGCAGCAGTTTGAAACTTCAAGTTGTATGAGATTAACCACTACTTCATACCCCTCTGACCTTCAAGCCAATATGCCATTATATTCTCCCAGTCTTTTACCTTTGACATTTAGGATAAGGAGGCCTCTGGTTATGATTGAACCATCTTCCTACACAAGTATAACAATAGCAACATTTAAATAAAGAATTTACAAATATATATGCATATCCTGTTGTGCTCAGCTTTACAGAATAATCCTGTCATTTAAAAGAGAATGCATTTCTTTTATTAAAAAGGAAATGATTGCGTCTCTACAACATATGCAGCAACTGCTCTGCAGACAAACTGAAGCTAATACCAGAATGTCATTGAATGAACTAGAAGAAGCATGTCAGGTCAGATATTTCTTGATTAGAAACTTGATGGGAATCTGCTAAATAATTTTATAAAAATTCTTGTTGTTGTTGTTGTTGCTGTTGTTGTTGTTGTTGTTGTTGTTGTTGTTGTTACCCACCCCCTTCACCCTAAGATCCCAGGACAGGTTACATTTTATAATAAAACATTAAAAACAAATTACAAGATTTAAAATACTTTAGAAAGTATTTTAAACTTGTTAAAAAGATTGTCATATGCTCTTTAGAATTTAAAACTGTCACCCTATCAGGCTGAACCCTGAGCTCTATCCTGTGGCTTTCCATAGAGCTGGATGAGGCAACATGATAATTATAGTAAATTTCAATTTTAGTAATTTCGGATATGCACTATTCTTCCATGCATATTTCTCCAAAGCACAGTTTTACGATCATGAAGGGGGTCCTTTCCCCACTGCTATTGACCAGGTGTGCTTATACTCTGCTGAATGCAATGGAATCTGCCGGGCTATTTCTGACAAAATGGGGGCCTCACATATTTCATATACTAGATCTCCTAGTGTGCAACATAGTATAACCAGGCTTTTTGTTGAGTCAGCATGTATGCCAGGGGTCTGAAAATGAGTATGTTGCTATTTAGACAGCACCTATTTAGACAAGGTTACCATGTCAGCAGTTTATAAACTTATGAATGGGAGAAAGCAAAAGATAAAGGCAGTTCTCACAGTACTAGAATGCAGGGTCAAATCAGTGAGTTAAAAGACAGCTAGTTAAGTGCAACAGATTGAGGACGTTTTTCAACAGAAGACATAGTAGGATTGCATCTAGTGTAAATGCTGCATGAATGGAAAGAGCTTCCATTCATGGAAGGAAAGTTGCACTCATGGAAGGATCCCATCTATATGTATAACTTTCTCTTCTGTTCCTGGAGGATGCAACCTCTAGTTAACAAGGTGTGATGATGGCCATGGTTGCTATATTGGCTTAAAAAAACCCCAATTAGACAAATTAATGGAGGATAGGTCTACAAACAACTGTTAGACAGTTGAAAGGAATGAAATCTCCATGTTTGGAGGCAACATACGTCTGTTTACCAGATGCTTGAAACAAACAGGGATGGCCATCCATTATGCTCTGCTAGTATGCTTCCAGAAGCCTTTGCCTGACCATAGCGGAGAAAGAATGATGGCTCTTTAGTCTAATACAGCAGCACACTTTGCACATCTTTTCTGGCAGATTTGCAATTTGTTCTTATGCTGGCAGACAAAAGAATCTTCCTATAATATAACCTGCTTAGAGTAGTTCTATCAGCAATTTAACTAGCAGTGCATTCAGCAAAACTGCATAATGATGGTATCAGGAACCAGTATCAGACAATACTCTGCTACCTACGGTATGTGTGTGTTGGTGGTGGGAATCATGCCTCCCACTCATTGCATCAGTTCCCTTTCTGAGGCCAGAGGACATCCACATGCGAGTATAATACTTTAATGAAGCATACACGTTAAATGCAATGTATGTAGGCTTGGATAGCATAGTTTATATGTTTTAGATAAAATCTAGTAATTGACCATGTGATCTGGGCCTGTGTATTTATGCCCTGTTGAAAATACATAGCTGTGCAAGGACGCCTTGCAGCCATGTCAGTGGAAGAGCCGTATTGTGTTTGCAGGGACGGAAGGAGTACAGGCGGTGACCATTCTAGGTGTGTCCAGTTGATGCATCATTGCTGACACATAGATCTTTTTGGATTCGTAAAAGAGCGGAATGGGTTTATGCATGCAGGCCCAGGGACGGAAATTGGTTCAAACAGGGCCAAAGAGTTTTAGAATCCTGTGTAACAAACCTTGACCTCTGGTTCCATTAATTTTTAAAATGATTTTACATTTCACTTTTTTATAAAATCTGTGAAAGATTTTTTTTAAAAAATCTCTCAAGCAGTAAATGGAACCATTGTTGTTGTTTAGTCGTTTAGTTGTGTCCGACTCTTTGTGACCCCATGGACCAGAGCACACCAGGCAGGGATAATTGCATGGAAAGGATACGTCAGGTCTCTTTTCTCCCTCAAGCATTCTATATGTTTTGATTTATTTAAAAAGAAAGCAACAACAGCAAAATTCAAAACTGTGCAGTATCCCGACCACAATTAGCGAAGGCATCTATCAATCTAGATGGACTCCACTAGCCATGCTGGCTGGAGCTGTTGAGTCCAGCACCATCTAGAGGGCCCCACATTCTAGGTAAATCTTACACTTTTTTCTTTCATTCTCCAAATAATCACCGTAGTGTGCATAGCCAACAGTGTTTCAGAAATGTTCAGTGTCGTATAAGTTCAGAAGTACTGTCTGTAGAAAAAGGCAACTCAGCAAATAATTAATTTTGAAAGAGAGCTTTTATGGACTCTTCCCAACCCCAGAAATGGTTTTAAAGAATCACAGAAACCATGCATAGTCACCATTTATCTAAATGCACTAACACTGTTTACATTGGCAAATTTGATCACATCATCTTATATTAGGTAGTGGATACACTGGGTTGTATCCCTTTTATTCATTTTCAAAAATGTGAAGAGGGCAAAATTGTATAGTACCTGAGAGATGTATGAGAATTTTTACTACTGATTTATGCAAGATTACTTTAATTTATCAATGTGACAGCAAAGCTGACAATGAGTTAATCCAGAAATGTTAAGACAAGTATGGCAGTTTAAAATCCTTCTTAGTGTACTGCCTTGCACACTGCTGGTGCTACGTAAATGTGAAATAGCAGTAGAAATAGCATACCAGTATTCTTTTAACACAGATTTAATTTCATTGAACCAACTTAAAAATGAAATAGGAAAATCAAACAAGAAAAACTACAGACTGGAATTTTTGCAATGGTGTTTCACAGTCCTTAAGTTAATCTGAACTCTATATTATATGGAATGTTAATAAAATTCAGGTTTGATTATTGTAATAAAAATATGTTCTAGGATGTGCTGTAGTGTTTATCTTCGCAAACAAAGGTTTAGAATGTGCTACATTTCATATTTCTTAGCTCTGCACTTTATATTACTTTTTCAGCACATTAAAACTTATGCAGTGAAACTGAATAATGGCAAGTATTTTTATACCCTTTTATAGCCATTTCTTTTTCATAACCTCCCCCTGTTTCCTGTTAGCTAAACTATAAGCACCTTTCTGTTAATTTATGAAAATTATTGTTGTGATAGCACATTATCACTGATCTGTATGGCACTTTCAGCATGTTAGAAGAAAAGGTCCAAGCAACATAAAACACATCAAAATTCATTAATGTGGTATTGATTATTTTTTGGATAATTAATTTTATTGCAGACCCTTGAAAGAGATAATGAGCTGCAAAGGGAGAAGGCAAAAGAAAATGAAGAAAAGTTCTTTAATCTTCAGAATGAATATGAGAAAACACAAGCAACTTGGAAAAATGAAGTAGGGCCCCCCTCCCATTTAAATACTACTGAATTAACAAGGTTACCAGGAAGTAAGAAAAACATTCAAAATAATTCCAAAAGTTCAAGAAGCTATTATTAACTAAAACAAGAAAAGGCATATTTTAGAAATCTATCTAGTTCATACATTGGAGATATTAGAATAATTGTTTGAGAGCTTTTAGGTATCTCAGTACGAGATACGTTTTCCTCAACTATGACAGCACCTCAGCGAATTGAAAGATTTCTGGTTCGCCAGAAGCAGCTTAGTCATGCTGGCCACATGACCCAGAAGCTGTCTGCGGACAAACGCCGGCTCCTTCGGCTAATAAAGCGAGATGAGCGCCGCAACCCCAGAGTCTGTCACGACTGGACCTAATGGTCAGGGGTCCCTTTACCTGTACCTTAAAAAAGGATTAGAAAAATTCATGGAGGCTATGTTCTATCTCTGAATACTAGGCGCTGGGAATCATAGGTGGGCAGAATGCTGCTGGGCTGATATCCTGTTTGCAGGCTTCACACAGACATCTGGCTGAGCACAGTGAGAACAGGATGGTGGACTGGATGGGCCATTGGCAATTGATTCAACAGGCTTATCTTATATTCTTTTAAGGAGGGGTACCAACAGTTGCTGAAGAGGGGAGCAAATTTCATAGAGGTGTAAATGTCTGTGAAATACAGTGGTACCTTGGGTTACAGACGCTTCAGGTTACAGACGCTTCAGGTTACAGACTCTGCTAACCCAGAAATAGTACCTTGGGTTAAGAACTTTGCTTCAGGATGAGAACAGAAATCGCATGGCGGCAGCGGGAGGCCCCATTAGCTAAAGTGGTACCTCAGGTTAAGAACAGTTTCAGGTTAAGAACGGACCTCCAGAATGAATTAAGTTCTTAACCCGAGGTACCACTGTACCCATTTTCCCATTTCAGCTCAATAGTAATAGAAACATGTGCTCCTTTTTGATTGCAGGTTGCCGAGACAGGTTATGAAAATCAAATGCATACAAGCCAAGCAGGAAACAAATACACACAAAAATCAAAAGAAGTTACTAATAATCTTGAACAAAGAGACATTGGATTAAAAACTACTCGGTCTTTGAATTTGGATGAAATAAAAGCAAAACAAAGCAATACTGATATAAACACAGGGGAAGAGGAATCAATTAGTGTTGAAGGTACATGTGTGTGTGTGTGTGTAATTATTTAAAAAAAACAGTCCAGAAGATGTTGATCTAAACTAAGTGTGCTAAAGAAAAACTAAAATAAAATAATTATTTTTTAGCTATGGTAACTAAAATACATAGGCTAAAATGTATTCTCAGAATCTCACATTACTGAAATACATATTCATTGCCAAATGCTCATATTAAAATTGCAGCCTAATACCCTCACCCTGATATCCATGAGAGCATTAGCACCCCCACACCATCCAACAAATAATTGTGGGTGGGGAATAGGATGTCTGCACTGCTTTGCTTACTTCAGCAGGACAGAACAAAGCCAGGCTGATAAAACTATGAGATGCCAAGTAAGGGCAATGAGATTATGGATTTCAAGGGTATGGAATGAGTGAAAAGCAGGGCTAGGAATGCATCTTGCAGTAAAACAAACAGGGCTGCTGGTGTTCTAGACAAACTTCTGGGCCTTAGTGATAAATTTAAAACTGACCACTTCTGATTGGCATCCATCTGAGAGTTCTTAAAGAACTGAAATGTGTTATTGTTTATCTTCTAATAAAACATGTAACTTGCCACTAAAATCACCTTCCATAGATCCGATGACTAGTAAGTAGTCAATGTGACACCAGCTTCTAAAAAGAGATGAAGAGGGGATCCAGGCTATTACAGGCTGGCTATTTTAACATCTGTTCCAGGACAACTGGTGGAACGATTATTAAAGATAGAATTATCAAGAATATAGAAGAACAAATCTTGCTGAAGCTGAACAAGAATAGCTTTTGCAAGGATCACTCACTAATATAATCATAGAATTGTAGAGTTGGAAGGGACCCTGAGAATCATCTAGTCCAGACCTCTGCAGTGCAGGAATATGCAGCTGACCTCTACAGGGATCAAACCTGTAACCTTGGTGTTTTCAGCACCACACTCTAACCAACTGAGCTATCTTTTAGATTTCTTTCAGAGTGAAAACAAGCAGTCTTTACTTATATTTTCAAAAAGCTTTTGATAAGTTCCCTCACCAAAGAATCCGGAATAAGCTTAGCAGTCATAGAATTAGAGGTGAGGTCCCTTTGCAGATCAGTAACTGGTTAAGGAATAGGAATTAGGAGTAAATGAACAGTTCTCCCAATGGAGTCTTCCTGGGATCAGTATTGGGACTTTTGCTGTTTACATTTTTCATAAATGAGAAAGAGTTACGGGTGAGCACTGAAGTAACCAAATTTGTTCATGATATCAAATAGTTCAGTGTGGTCAAAAAGGGATGGCAAGGAGCTGCAAAAGGATGTCTCAGACTGGGTTAATGGGCAGTAAAATAGAAAATGTGATTCAATGTAAGTGTGAAATGATGCACATTCTGGGGAAAAAATCCTAATATTTGCATATATACTAATGGGGTCTGAATTTGATGCAACTGACCAGGAATGAGACCTTGTGGTTCTAGTGGACTGATGAAGATGTCAACCCAGTATGTGGCTGCTTTGAAAAACGGATTGAAAATATAAGTGCCAATATCATAATGCCATTATACGAACCTATGGTGCAGCCACACTTGGAATACTGGTCACTTCAGCACAAAATGGATATTGCAGAGCTGGAAAAAGTACAAAAAGGACAACCAAGATGATCAAGGAGTTGGAATAACTCTTCTAATGGGGTCTTTTTTAATTTAGAAATTAAAGTTCTAACACTAGAACTCAGAGCCATCCAATAAAGCTGAACATTGGAAGATTTGGGACAGATAAAAGATAGTACTTCTTCACAAAGTGCATAGTTAGGACTTGGCTCGCACAATATGTAGTGATTGATAGCCACCTACTTGGATGGCTTTAAAACAGGATTAGACAAATTCATGGAGGAACTAACTATGATTAAAGTGTCAATACATCCTTTATTTGAACTATATTTGAAAGCATTCATCCTTCCAATTTTCATCATTAAAATCTTTTCACCCAACAGATTTGGATTGTCTTGAGAATATTATGAATGAAGACAATGCAGTTTGCCATTTCAATAAAAATCGAAAGGAGGCTTCTCCAAGCAAAGTTATCTGCACAGCTCATTTCATTACTCCAGAACTAACTTGTGGGTCAGGTGTTGCTGGGTGTGGAGGAACAGCAGCCGAAGGAAAAGAAGACAGAAAGGAGTTTGATAAAATACAGACAAGGATAGAAGTAAACTCCTCAAACAGTTGCTGTTCATTGGTGGAAGAACCCAAGATGCTCTTAGAAAGCACTGCAGCTTTGGATTGTTCTACTCCAGATACTGATCATCGTACTAAACTCAATGAGCATCTAGAGAGAAATGTAAGGAATAAATTTATTTTTGATATAAATGAAAATATTAACAATGCACCCCATGAGGGAGCTTCTTCCACAAATAAGGCACTCGCTGAAGAATCCAAAGTTCAGGATATTGCTACTAGTGAGGAAATTACAAATGGCCTGTCGAAGACTGAAACTAGTTCCATCTTGTCACAAAAGGTGGAGAATAATTACACAAACCTGCACAATGTGTGCTTTGATAGATATGATGACATTTGTAAAGAAACACCAAGTCAGAGCTCCAGTTCCACAATTTCCAATATTCTTTTAGGTAAAGAGAGTAATACTAATCCTGAAGAAATACATAGTGATAATGCATGCGAAAACAACAAATGCTGTGAACAAAGTAGTACTTGCAGCACACAAGAGAAAATTCCACCTTCACCTGCTTCCTCAAATGACAATTTAGGTGTAAATACTCTGATTACCACTGATGGGAACATGAATCATCTGCCTCTAATTATGAATTTTAATTTAAATGCTGAAAACCCATCTAAATATATAAATGACATACCAAGCAGACAATCTGATAAAGATGATTCCATACTGACAGAAGTCACAGAAAAGACACCTGAAAGTACAAACGAGTCTTTGTCTCTTCACCCTAAAAATGTATGTGAATCTCAGATTGAAGATTTGAAAGTTAATAAATTTGCAGAAGATGAACAAAAGGAATTGCATACACCCAAAACTACATGTGAACAATCCTTTGTGGTTTGTGAGAAACAGGGCATACAGATAAAAGAAAGGGAAGAGCCATCAAGTAGTCCGGACACAAGGGAAATGATTGTGAAAGGAAGCACAGAAGAATCACGTTCCTTATCCTTAAAGACAAGAGAAGATTTAGTAAACAGAAGTGGAGGGCCACCCTTTGACTCCGCAACTATGGATAAAAAAGCAGAAAAAACTTCAGCAGACTCAAATTTACCAAGGGTATGTGAAGGTGAAATTCAAACAGTTTGCAATTCAGCTTCCAAAAAGGTTCCATCTTTGAAAGAAAAGCTACTTTCGCAAGAAGTTAAAAAACAAAGTTCATGGGAAGTAGAGCAGACTATGAATATGAATGCTGCCATAAGAGAAGATACGTTAGGTAAGAAATTAAGTGTTTTGTTTTGTTTTGTTTATTATAGTTCTATGCCGCTTTTCATTTGAATGAATCCCAAAGCAGCTTACAAAAAATAGTAACATCATCACAAATAAAGCATAAATTGTGTAGAATAAGTAACAAATAATCAGTGAAGGTTACACTGTTAACAACTAAAAAATAAGATAAACATCAAAATTAAAACAAAAGTTGCATTATATGATTAATATAGCATTTATAATCTATAAAACAAAATAAACTTTGACAAAATAGCCCGAAAATAAACTGAGCACTGTTATGTTCATACACATACTCTCTGCACCCCCTTAACTCAGAATCTTTCACTCTATTCAGCTCATTAAAATGCACGTACACATAAAGCCCATGGCAGCAACTCTCTTCTGAAGGACTCTGGCTGGAAGTGGGGCAGCACAGATGAAACTACCCACCTGCTGATGGCTGTCGCTCTCCCGACAGTTCTTCCTCTGGAAGCAGCTCCCTTATGAAGGCTCCTAGGGCTGAATGGTAGGGCTCCAGCTGTTTTTGGACTACAGTTCCTGTCATCCCTGACCACTGGTCCTGCTAGCTTGGGATGATGGGAGTTGTAGTCCAACAGTAGCTGGAGTCCCAAGTTTGGGAAACGCTGCTTTAGAAGAGTAAAAAGGCTGAGAGTATGGGCCCCTTTACAGGCATAGGGCTTGGTGCAATTCTACCATCTGCACCCTTATACACCTAGCTATGTACCCTTGCTATATTTGAAGGTGTAAAGATCAATTTTGATTGGCTACCGACCTTGTTTGGACATTTGGATGGCATATCAATTTGTATGTGTAAATTACCGTATTTTTCGCCCTATAGGACACACTTTTCCCCCTCCAAAAATGAAGCGGAAATATGTGTGCGTCCTATGGGGTGAATGCAGGCTTTCGCTGAAGCCTGGAGAGCGAGTGGCGTCGGTGCGCACCGACCCCTCTCGCTCTCCAGGCTTCAGGAAGCTATCCGCAAGCCTTGGGAGCCCGGCGGGAGTGCCCGACGGGCTCCCAAGGCATGCGGGCAGCAGCTGCAGCACCGGGCGCACTGAGAGCAGATGTCCGCAGCCTCGGAAGCTGCAGCCCGAAGCACAGGGGCGCACTCTGGAGCGCGCCCCGTGCTTCGCGCAGATGTCTGCAAGCCTTGCGAGCAACAGCTTGTTCTGCGGGGCTGGGGGCGGGGGAAGCCGGAGCTTCCCCCGACCCCAGCCCCGCAAGCAAGCTCCGGGAGCGATGGCGAGGTTGCGCAACCTCGCCTTCGCTCCCGGACCCCCATCCTGAGGCTAAAAATGAAGCCAGGACAGTTAGCGGGATCCATCCCGCTCGCTGTCATGGCTTCTTTGCTCTTTGGGGCTCGGGTGGGAAATAATTTTTTTTCTTTATCCCCCCCCCCAAAAGTAAGTGTGCCCTATGGGTCGGTGCGCCCTATAGGGCGAAAAATACGGTAAAATGGATGCAGTGGTGGTCACTGTATGGTTAATGCAAGCTGATCTGGTTCTCTTCTTTTCTTCTTTATAAATTTGCAAAAAAAGACCCAAATCAAAGAACAACCAAAAGTAAACAAACTTAGAATATATTTGGCTCTTCAACAGCCTGCTATGAAAGTCGGGAAGCTGCATGTCCCAATTTTACAGATGCCAGGCCTCTGTTTGAAGGGATGCCCGGTCCATGTCCAGTTTAAAGTTAAAGAATGCTAATAAGCGAGCGCAGGGGGCCTGAAACAGCCCATCAACAGTCAGCACTTGGAGAGGAGATTGAGAAGACACACACATCCACAATATCTGTTCATGGGTCACTCTTCTTGTGAATTGTACTGTGTTTCTTTACCTACCCCAAATCTGAGATCACACACAACTAAAAACAAGCATAACCTAGTAACGATAATCCTTACAAGCCACACACATATACAGACACCTTGACATGCCTTCTCCTTTCCTTATCTCTTGTCTGTGTTTGTTATTTTGAGTTATAGAGGAGGCAAGAAGGAATCTAAATAAGGCTAGAGAGGTCTCCTGTAGGCTTCCAGAGCTCCATCCATGAGTTGAGCAGAAGAGTTCTGTGGGTGTTTTCCCATGTGTTGTCTGAGTCCTACCCATTTGGTTTATGTTAATGGGTTCTTTAAGCAAAAAGGCAGTAAACAATGCTTTTGCACAAGTAGCTTTTTGATTTCTAAAATGGTTTGATATTCCTTTTCCAAAATAAAAAAATAATATTATAAATTAATTACGTATAATGTTGTGTCAAAACCTATTTTCTGTACTTTAATGTAATGGTGGGTTTTTTATGGATCAGAGATAAAATGGGGTTTAGCACTATATAATTAGTACCTAGAGAATAAGAGGCAGTTGTTACCATTTCCTCTTTGTCAATCAGTTTCTACCCACAGTAATGGAATTGCTGACACTTTGAATACCGGAAGTATCAATCCAGGCCCCAAGAGAAATCCCAGTGAAGAATGGAATGCAATAGTAAAGACTTTTTATGATCCCTCTTTTCCCACAGAACACGTAAGTCAATTAAAAATATTGCAGAGCAGACCTTGGTGAGCTAACTCCAGAGATATGTGTAGAACTGTATGCATCTGGATGCTTTAAGACCTTCTTGATCTCCAAAATAATATCAAGAGGGCAAATGTGGCAACATTTTTCACAATTAAAGTTGATGGAAAACAGCAGGAAAAAGTCACAGCATATAAATCAACTGGATCTTAGCCAGTCTGCTTGAATTGAAAACTATGTCTTAACAATAACTTACCAAGCAAAAATTCAAGCATATTATATTACTTTTGTTTACTTTTCAGCCATTGTTTCAGATACCAAGAATCTACAAGACTGAAGGCAGTACAATGTACTTCATAACATTTGCTTTAAAACTGTATTTGTTTGGAACACATGCATTCAATATTTTATTTTTGTAGTTTGTAGTTTCCTGTCACCCAATCTAAATCTGTTCTTAGAGATGAAAGTATACCTAACATTTTATTTAGTTCCTCAATCTCAGGGGTCAGCAAACTTTTTCAGCAGGGGACCGGTCCACTGTCCCTCAGACCTTGGGGGGGGGGGGCTGGACTATGGTGTTTTTTTTTAATTCCTATGCTCCACAAATAACCCAGAGATGCATTTTAAATAAAAGTACATATTCTACTCATGTAAAAACATGTTGATTCCCGGACCGTCTGCAAGCTGGATTTAGAAGGTGATTCGGCCAGATCCGGCCCCCTGGGCCTTAGTTTGTCTACCCATGCTCAATCTCTTATGTAATAACAATACTAAACACAACATGTTCAAATTAGTACTTGACATTAACAAAGTGGATCTTCACTTTTAGAAACTACAAAGTATTTACTATTTTAAACCCGACTACACTGAAAGAAAACAAAAGCAAATGTGCATTTAGGTTGATCCGGCAAGTTAATCAGTTTTGTACGTGACCAATCCATCAACTACATCATGAAATAAAGTAAGTCATGCTAGAGCACTGTACCATCATATGTGGCACAAATCTAGTAAGACAAAAAAAAGGCAATTTGGCAAAAATACAGTATGCCTGAGGAGTGCTCCACCCTATTAAAAACAGGCTTTGTGTAGTGCTGTCTGGGGCTTATTGAGAAGATCTCTCTTTTCCTGCCCTCCTGAGACCAATCTTTGGTTAGGGTCTCAAGCAATCAAATTGACTCATTCTTCCTTTTTTCATAAGACACCTGGAACATTCAGTACCTCAACAATAGGCTTAACTACTAGACTATTCCCAGTTCCTTTAGACTCAGACCACCCCTGGGGCAAGTTGCAAGCCCTCCTCAAACTGAGTTTGTGGCTCTGAAATACTTCTACTTGGAACAAAATCTGAGTGGGAGAACACCACCTGATTCCTCCCCCCACCCCGCTTGTTTTCCTATTCCCCAAAGCCATCCTAGCTACCTTACTTGCCTTACATTGTTAGTAATCACAACTGATTGTGGTGGCAGGGGCATAGCATGGGGGGCCATGACCCCAGGTGCAGAATCTTGGGCACTCCCCCCCCACATGTGAGCGTGTCAGCAGTGGAGACTGGATGAGCGTGGAGGGCTCCCTCCATGCATTCACCCAGCCCCTGCAGGGCATGCGAGTACCCTCTGTGCTCTGTCTGCACCTGGGCACCAGCAGGGGTGGGACAGGGTGTGAAAGGTGCTCTTTACCCTCCATGCACTGTCCCACTCCCCCCCAGTAATATTTGAAGAATTTTAAATTAGAAATTGGCAGGAAGTTTAGAGAATCTTCTTTTACAAAACAATCTTCATGTACATGTGGGAAAGGATAGGAATTGTGCTTCCTTTTAAAGTGCAATCAATGCCCATTTGTAAATCATAACTGCAATCTGATAGAGAGGGACGTTTCCCAGCACTTACTTGTCGTTTTGGCACCAAAAAACGCTCTGTAGTTCCAAGCTTTTAAGATACAATTTTAATCTTCCTTGCCTTGCCTGCTTTTGTAATTTGATGGCATTTTATTTTGTTTACATTTCAATTTTTTTTTGTTTCTTTAAAAATGCACTGGGAATATGATTGAAGGCCAGTACAAAAATACCCACAGATGCCAATTCGTTATATCTCCAATACGTAAACAGCAGAAATCAGTGCATAAACACCCAATGTATATGCCTATATAATGTCTAGAAGAGTGTCCAGTGGAGTGTTGATCAGCCATGAGAAAATGAAATCTTTAATGTCTTATGTGTGGATTTTAGGTCACAACAGAGTGCCCATTAGGACAACAGAAGACTTCTCAACCACTCTCAGAAGTCAGTGCAGCTATTTTAAAGCAGAGCTCACAGAACACTGAAGAGAAAGACTGGAAATCACAAAATGTCTTCATAAAAACACGAATTGACAATATTGAAAGGTTTCTGCATTTAAAAAGTTTTGGCCACCCAAGAAAGAGAAAGCACGAGGAAGATACAGAAAAAACATTAACAACAGATAAAGCAGAAGCATAATGTAATTGTTTTGATAAAGTCTTTGACTGGTGACATATATGAGCAAATGTCATGTATTAAGAAAACTGCTTTCATTTCTGCAGGTTTGTCTACCTTAGTTTTTAAAAAAGAATACTTTAGAATAGCTATTTCATTTGAAAGTTACCAACTAAAGGTCAGAAAATACCACATTTATAAAAATCATATGACTATCCTACTTCTTTATGCCAGAATATAAGATCTTATGATTATAAAACAGAACAGGGGAACAGGATTCATTCTGGTTTAAAGTTTATTGCTTTATCAGCCTGTAGTTCAACTTATTTTATGTATTTCAGCCAATTAGATATTTTCAATAAAAAGTTCACAATATTAAGTTGAATGGTTTAATATAGCTGAGTTTCCATCCAATACAAACTAAATATTACATCAAATAATCAGGTGTCTGACAAGCTAAGGAGACTGTTTTTCACTTGATTCAAATTTAGTTTCCAGAAGTTAAGTGTATCATACAGCTGTTGCCACTGCTGTTTTCCAAAGGTTCGATGTGTGCTGTGACTAAAATAAAGAAATGTAAAAGGAATTGCATCAAAGTTCTGCTTTCAAAAACACATACCATATTTTCGGTACATATGTATTGAGAAAAAAATAAAACATGAGATAAGATGTGAAAACAAAACTGTTTTACCCTCTATAACAAGGCTTTATAGACCAGCTAGTCTGGTATTCTGCAGCCTTCGTCAGTACTTAAAAACCTCAGACAAAACTCATTAGTATTCTTACCACTGTTTGGCCATTAAATGAAATGTGCTGGAAAATAGGACTCTTTCATTAAATAAGCTAATCACATTCAGTCTGTGCTTTAATAAAATTATGATAAATAGCAACTATTTAACTACAGGCAACTGATAGGAATATCTTGCGTCTAGTAAAAATATTAAACAGATGTTTAAGTGCTATAATTAGCACTGCACTAAGTTGCTTCACAAAAAGATTTAAGACTCACCTGACCACTACTTTTCTCTGTGTTTGATCAATTTTGCAATGCACCATCTTTGTCTTTACAGCTGCAAAGAACAAATACATTATGATGAATTTCTTTTAACATGTGTTGAAACCCTAACTGATAAGAGCTTCAGTAATCCCCTGGAACTGAAGTGAATATAGGGATGTCCTTTCAACGGGTGTTCAATTTTTGTCGTTATACCATGGCATGCAGAAAAATGTATTTCACTAAGCCTTGCATAGTGCTTTATATGTAAGAGTGTACTATGTGCACTTTCTACAAGGAGGTTCTCACTGGAAATCACATGCAATTTAACAAAGAGCAACAATTAAAAGGTGGGTTTCTAATATATCACAAAACAGTACAAGAAACACTGCATAGTCAACTATTGCATTCAAATTGTGGTTACAACAATAAAGCAATCCTGTTTGCTGTCTGCACCAGGGTGGAATACGCTCCCCTTCCCCTTGTCAGCTCCATGCTGGCATACCTGAAGAACCCAAGAATTGGGTCTGGAGAATCTACGAGGGACCCTACCCCAAAACGACCCAATTCAGGACTTTACACTGGCTACTGGATTATAGCACGGGCACCGTTTGAGTCTTCACTGCAGTTTCCACACCAGTGATGATGCACTTTACCAAAAGAAGCAAAAAGGTGACTGTGACATCCTAACCGCCTGCTTCAAATCATTAACAGTTGTACAGGTTTTCAGTATCAGTAAAGGTCTTATCAGCCAGCATATAATAGGATCATATAACCTCTCTTACCATCAATAACAAATGCTTCAACATCATCAGCTCCAACCTGAAGTTCCTGCTGCATGGTGTCAAATGAGATTTCCTTGTTTTCCACAGCCATTCCCATAAAGGTGAGCAGTCGCATTTTTGCCATGTTCTGTTCATGCAATAAACCTGCATTAGAGATCACACTACAGTGTAAGTTTTTGCTAGGAATTGTTGATCCACGTCAGGCAGTTAGATACTTTTTGGGAGAACTGCACTGCAAAATTCACAGTACAAAAACTGAAGGATTACAGTATTATGTTCGGATCTTTAATTTATTCCAAGAGGTGTAAATAAGGTCAGTTTGCATTAAGAACGGAATACAGGAGGTGAAGATAGAGAATGAATTTGTTTCTTCTTGCAGAATAGTAGGCCTGTTTATTTAGGATTGAGGGTCATCCTCCATTGTCACCTGGTGCTAGATTTTGTTCTGTGCTCAGCAGTGGCAGAGTGCTAGATATGAAGTAATATTGGGAAAACCAAAATGCTTCCAAGAAATCTTAACCATTGCATGAAAAACAGTTGGTGCTTCTGTGACTGGCTGCTTTTATGCAACTACATCTTTTCTTTGCACACTCATGTAACAGATGTTGCACCAATGTCAGGACAGAGTTAGTAGGTGTGATCCTACCGCCCCTTTCATCTATGCAGCATGGAAGAGATACTAAGTACATAACATACTACTTGCACCCCCCCTACACACCCCAGTTAACAATCCCTTTCTATAGTACAAGTGAGACATACTGAGGCAACTGTGACCTGCCATCCCCACCGCAAGAGGTTCACATTCCAAGTGTCAACTCTTACGGTCCTTAATTCTTAGGGTAGTTACAGAGCTGATTTCAAAATACGTTGTAAGTTTATGGAAGATACATATTCAGTTTCTTGTTGATATTACTCATTCCATATTATGACCAATTTGTATTTTATGCATTCATTTACATAGGAGGAACAGGATGTCATCTTATTGAATTCTACAAATGCTATTGATTGTGAAGTTCTTAGGATACAAAAGTGTGATGTTACAGCAGTTCTCCCCATCTCCTGAGGCAGATGGGAATTCTAGTCCTAAAACATCTGGAGGGCACCAGGTTGGGGAAGGCTATAATACAATATGCAGCAATATGTGAACAGCAAACAAAAAATAAGTTGGTGTAAATTTACTTTATTTGTTTTTACAAAATAGTTGAATAACGTTTCTGTAAAATAGTCTCTTTAAAGTTTCAGACATTGGAAAAGAAGTATGGATGAGATAACCTGAACACTCAACAAATATTTATGTTTGGAATTAATAACACTGTTAGACTAATAGAAGCGCAGGGAAGCACATTACTACCAGACATAATGTTGTGTTAATTAGCAGTAATTATGATGAAGGCTATTTATCTGGCACCAATTCAACAAAAATGTGATCATCATAACTCAAGCGAATAGGGAGCTTCAGAAACTATAGCTAACTGGTTTTAATGGAAATCTACAAGCACAAAAAATCAATTAGTGCTCATAAACTCTAATTAACAAATGCAAATGAGATGTTAATTACCCTGCTAAAGTAAAAAGGTTGCCCATACTACCAGATTTAAATGTGAACATGTTAGGGCGATTCACAGTTGACACATGATAATACAACTGTTGGCCTAACTTGTCAGCATTAATAAAACAACACATTGTAACAAACTGATGCCACTTGTGAGAGCTTTTGCTGAATAGATGATTTAGATTGGCAAGCCTTGTTATTAATTTTGAAGAAAAATAAAACCAGCAGGGGGATAAAATGAGGGAAAACATTAATTGTAAAAAATAGAAAACATTACAGTATAAAAAGCATACTAGCGATTTAGAGGATTATTTCCAATACCGTAAAAGTTAAAAAAAAACCCAACAATCTCGGCTGGCTTAATTGGTTGGCCCAAAAAGAATTAGATGTGTTCTGTGCTATTCTCCATATCTGAATGCATTTCAAATACATAAAAAATACATTATTTTCACACACAGACAATGGATGACCTAGTCATACTCAAGAGTAGATCCACTGAAATCAAAGAACCTAAGTTACTTAAATCCATTTATTTCAATGGGTTTACTAGAAGTATAACTAATGGTAGATTAGTTGGTTTAATCCATTGCACAAGAATTTGTTATGTTTATACTACACCCAAATGAAACAAGTTGCCTTTGAATGCACTTGATTGGCACAATCTAATCTATGGTAACATCCTAGGAGAGGCTCCATTACTCAGATTTTTAAAAAATTACCTGATATTTAATGAGCAATATAGTCACGTGCATGCTTTTGTAACATTCAAGCAGTGGCTATATCAGCTACCATAAGGTGAAAAGCTTTCTTTGTTTTCATTAAGAAAAATAATATATTTTTCTTTCTAAAATTTCTATCTTAAATTGAGGAATGTTCACCTTTGTTTTCAGGATTCTACCTAGTGCTAAAAAGATTTGTATGTTTTAAAGCCTATTACCCTTTCCTTTTCAAGTAAAATTAACCTCCATTCTGGTCACTATTTTTTTAAATCCCAATTTTATGGAAACATTTATTCATTACCAGTATATCTAAACCTTAATGTCATAATATAAAAGCTTGCATCATTGAACAATTTTTGCATTGTCACTGACCCTTGTCCTAAAATGCTGCAATACAGAAAAAGTAATTTTCATGCATGCAATAGCTTATGAACCAGTGCTCTTTTGAAACAGTCAATTACACATCAATGGGGGAGTGCCAAAGTGTTAATTACTACTCCTTTCTTTCCACAGTGTGTAAATAAAGAGGCTGCTGACATTAACATTCCATCACAAAGCTTCATCCTATGAAACATATTAACTGGGACAGAATGTGGTTTGCAAGGTTTAATGCATCTGCAAAAAGATTAAGCTTGCATAAGAACACTTGCAAGTGCTCAATCTGACTGTACTTCAGCCTTGTTAGAGGGAGATTTGGTTGATTCACATCATGATCCTACAACAAGGGGGTTTGGTTGTTCCTCAAACAGCACCTCATCCATGCAGCAGCCTGCATGTTTCTCTGTTGCACGTAGGTTGCCAGCTTTGTGGAAATGGGGCTGCCCCCACAACGCTTGGTAGGCCATTTATGCAGCACTCTTGCACTATGTCGGGTTTCCCCCTCAACACTCATGCAGCACTGTTGATAACTGCTGCGTGCTTAGTGCACAGGTGGAGTATGTGACTAACTGAAGAAAAGCAAGAAGACAAGATGGAGGCTATCTTCACTCAAACAACAGGCCTCTTTCTTAGTCATTTAGACAATAAACACTGGGAAATCTTTCTCTACCTCTCATCGATGAATAACATAGTGGATATAACTTGGGAGTGCTGTCAGAATTCTCAAACTGGCTATTTTCAGTTTAGAAATGCAGATTCAATAATAACACCTGCTCCCACAGGATTTACTGTTCCTGTGACTTTCCAAGTGGATGCTTGAAAACCACAGTTCAAACACAAAAGACAGCAAAAGAAAAGCATTCAGTTCAGAATGAACAGTCGCTAAACTAAACAACTGTATTCTGATACAGTTTTTGAGATTATGTAACTACAAGCACACACAACTGGAAAGAAAGCCCTATTGTGGTAGAACATAAGCACCCTGGGAACAACTCTCTCGGGGTTGCCTGCAGATCAGTAAAGCGCCTGAGTGCCTTGGAGTGTGGGATCCATTCCAACTGGTGAAGCCATGAGTGGACAAAATCTCAAACAGCACTGGAGAACCCAAGGATAAACTTTAAATCCTTTTTAAAGGCAAACCACAAGTTCAGGAGCCTGATCTGATCCCTGCTCCATGCAGCCAATTTTCCTGGCTCCTTCAGACCCCATACATTTTGGAGCTAGCAGGGGCTGGGGAAACAGGACTGGAGTGGGTGAAGCCCAGTGCCCTGATGGGGATGCAAATTGCCCCCTCCCTAGTCATGAGATCAACCATTTGGTAAGTGGATAGCAGCCATTACTCCCCTCCTCAGCTGATCTGTATGAAGCCTCCACATGGTTGGTATAAGGTAACTGTGCCCACAAGGCAAAAAAGGGTACTCATCCTGGAACTAGACACAGTTAGCAGAGCAAGTGGACAGTCACAGCACCTCCTTCTGAGTAGCTGAGCTAGGTTTATATCACAGCCATGTCTTGGGTACACCAAATGTGCATTAAAAAAGAAAGAAAAAAACTTACCAAGAGAATCAATGAAGTCCTTGTTGTTCTGATAAAACCGGACATAGGATGCTAACTTGGCACTAACAAAAATTGTCAAAAGCTACAAAGAAAGAAATTGTCAATTATGAGGACAGGACAAGATATGAACATGTCTAATTTAGCAGACATCTCCCGGACATTTCATTTAGAGAACAGAACAGAAAATACTGGTTGAATTCAAGCTGCCATGGTGTACAGCAAGGGTGGGACACTTGTGGCCCTCCAGATGTTGTTGGACTCCAATTCTCATCAAGTCCATTGGAATGCCCAATACTCAAGGATGACAGAAGATCAAGTCCAACTGCATCTGAAGGGCCACAGATTGCCTGTCACGGGGTTAGGGATGACTGTAAAGGAGCCGTGGCAACTTGAACTCACACACTTCCCACTCCCCATCTTTCTCCTCCTCTGCAAAGATCAGAACGAGAGTGAATGCTTCTACTTTCCCTTTTGACTAAACCAGTTTCCTGCTACGTACAAATTATTGTAAACCAATTTTTTTTTGGGGGGGGGGGAGGAATACTTTCCAAAAAGCAGAGCATAATTAACAGCCCAGTTTATTTTAAGTCTAGTTAGCTAAAACCAATTAGGATAAAATCTTGGTTTGATTTCTTTTAAATAACTAGAGTTAAATGGGAAGCTTAAGATGGTCATGAGCCACTTGTCCTCAACATCTTATTCAAAAATATGTTTCTTTTGCATGAGACTGTTGGATGCTGGGGTAACTGGTGAAGTAAAAGTTAAACTGGTGCCAGACTGAAAGCATTTAATGCATTGGAGATTGGGCAGTGTATTCACCCCATCCCCTGTACCAAAAGGAAGTTACAGCAAAATAGTCCACTGATCAGAGGTGAAGCTAATTAGCCCCCTTCCAAGCTCCTCCCAGGCAAAACCTTTCACTCTCTTTTTCATGCTACACTGACGCATGCAAACTGGTTGCACTTTTAAACATTAAAAAACACAATTAAAAATATGCATATGAAGACAGAACCAGGTTAGAGAAAGAACTCAATATTTGATGTCAACTATGTCACCCCCCCCCCAAGATACACTGGTGCAAGTCTCACTTTTCTATTTACTAATACAAATTCATATTTTCTGTGCTTATGCTTCTGTAGCCAAAACCGTGGGACTAATGCTGAAGAAAGAAATACCAGGAAACTTGTGGTATCCCTGAGTTACCACATTTTTCTCTCCATAAGACGCACCTAGTTCTAGAGGAGGAGAACAAGGAAAAAAAAAAGTTCTCTCCCTCTCTGCACAGCGCCTCTCTAGCAAAACGGGAGGAGTGGCTCTCCAGCGAAGCGAAGCCAAGAGAGCAAGAGGGATTGGGGTGAACCAATCCCTCTTGCTCTCCTGGCTTCAACGAAAGCTGCGCAGCCTGCATTCGCTCCATAAGACGCCCACACATTTCCCCTTACTTTTTAGGAGGGGAAAAGTGCGTCTTATAGAGCGAAAAATCAGGTATGTAAAAATACAACAAAAATCTGTACGGGGCAGTATTGACAAAGGTCAAAATCCCCAAACACATTAAGACACTGAACCGGGGAGGGGGGCCCTATCAATTGGGTGGGAAGAAGGAAATGCCTACGTGCCTACTGCCTACGTGCCTCAATCCCAATTTAATACAATTGGGATTGAGAACAAGTGGGTTCACTGCTACACCCTTCAAAAATAACCCAGCCCAATGAGGTCTGAGCAGGGTTGAAGAAGAAATGTGAAGTGAAGAGGATAAATGAAATGGTCATCCAGAATCCGGAAGCACTCTAGATTACAACATTTTTTAAAAAAATATTTATTGAAAATTTTTAAAATTACAGAAAAAGACAAAGCAGAGAAAGAAAAAAGAAAAAAAGAAAAAAGAGGAAAAAAACAAACAAACCACATCCAACAATACAAATTCAAAAAACAAAAATACACCACAAACAGATAAAAATAAAACCAACATTCTCAAATCTTCAACTTTCATTACCTTCTTTCTTTGACCTCCTCCTCCTCCTCCTCCCTTTTTTTGTATCCCAGTTAATAATTATCCTTTCCATATTTCATAATATTCTGTCATTACATTACCTTAATCTATTTTCATCTTATCTTATAAAAAACCTTAAAACTTAAATCTTATTTTTACCCACTTCTCATAACCATAATATTCTTGCCTAATTCTTTAAACATTTTTGCTAGAGCCAAGTAATTTCGGTCCAACATTTGTCTAACAGTCATCAATTTTATAAAACAATCCTAGTGATAAAAAAAAGAAATAGAAACAATCCAATCTTCATCCAGCGTCCCTTCCTCCTGGTCCCGGGTTTTGTCAGTCCTTTTTATCCCATCGATCTAGCGCATTAACCTGGTAACCTTATATCTGAGGCCCTTAAGTCCCTTCCATGTCCCTTCCGCGGCTCTTCTTCATATTCACCTTTCACTCATGGGAACTCCAGCTTGGTAATGTTTTTGACCCTTTTCAACAAATCAGCCCCTTTTCCATAGTCCAGACTAAACTCCATGTAGTATTTAAAAACATGTTTCAGAATCCCTCCAAAATTAAGAGCCCCCACAGCTCCAAACATCTCACGGCCCATTGCCAGAATCGGAAAGTCCAAACATCCCTGCATAGGGGGGTCTATCCAACCCCCCATTTCCAAATCAGTCCAAACTTTATCTTTCCTAATCTGGCTTTTTCCAAGTTCATTTGTCAAATCCAAAAGCTCATGTTCCTGCTGGGCCCCAGCTCCCTCCATCTCTGGCGCCCAAGATTCTGCAACATCCTCTTCTCTCATCAGATTACAACATTTTGTTGTAGAGGCCTACTTCTCTCAACTCTTATTAATTTAAATAATATGGCTTCAGTAACTATGTCTGAAGTTGGTTTGTCTGAAACAAACTGTAGTTAATGTTAACCACAATTTGTTGATCTGAGCATGGCAAGCTGTGATCAAACAAAAGGAAAATCAAAATATTCTAAGCTACTCCTTCCAGCAGCTAGGAGTGAGGGGAGGGTAACTAGTTAGCTCAAGGCTTATTTCCTAATGGTTCACATCACACTAAACTATGTGTTTGCATGACATGCAAACCTAGACACTATAAACAACACAATGCAAAATAACTTCTGTGTGATTCAATCCCACTAAAATGGTTAAGCAATTTTATCTCACATGCAGCATGCCAAGTGTTTAATATTTAAGTTTAGAAATTAATACTTACATCATGAATAAGTTCTCCTTCCAAAAATTTGACTGGTTTTAAGGTGAGAAGATGATCAAAGAGAAAGGTATTAGGATCCTTTAATGCACGGACAATACACCTATTTAGGAAAGTAAAGTGTAAGGAAGAAAAAATGCATTTCTAGTTAATTTAATAGCTTTTTAAAAACCATTCTGCAAAAACAACCTCCAAATCAAAGTGTATTCCAAAAACACTTGAACAGTATTTACAAATACAACATAAATACATATAAACACATTGGGTTAAGAGATAACAAACAAAAGCAGCATAAAAACTAATTCAAGTTGAGTGTTCTCTTTAAGAAGCATGGGGGGGGAGGGATTTGCCTAACACTGAAAATGTTATGGGATGTAAGGGGAAAGAAGTGGTGTGCATCTGTAACACCTATATATAAAAGCAAGCCTGTCCAATTGTCTTCTTCCATGACACAATTAAATATGCATCTATATTTAGGGATGCCTACCAAACTTTTAGGTCTAAGTTTGCAGGAACATTCACTGAAAACAAAAGGCTATTCAGAACAAAATCTTTTCTCTGTGCTATCATTGTCACAAAAAGGTGGGGAGTCTGGCTACCTAGCTGTGTGGCTGGCCATGAACCAGCCCCAGACAACAGTTATGTATATTTTATTGTAGTTGGCTTTCTGCTTCACAGATCAAGTACACTTACAGTAAAGTATTATCTGCTTTTAATGCAAAATGGAGGGAACTGGAAACCAACAAAAAAATTGCAGATTGATCTCCTTTCTATACCAAATATTAGTTACTCCGCATTCCTCCTGTACCTGCTCAGAGACACTTTCCTCCTGCCTGTTACACTTGCATGAACTGCAATTTAACCCTTGCCTCCACTACTTTCCACCATGATAACATATGACACACTGCTTGCTACTACCTGGAAGAACTACCAAGGCTGGTATTTCTCCCTACTTCTCTTATATAAACCTTTCCAAACTGCCCCATTCATAACAAACCCAAACCAATGGCAGCTACAACAGGAGTCCAAACTAGAGTATGTTTTCTTTAATATTATGGAACGTCTCCCTGTTTGAAGAAATCTATTCAGTGTATAACTTCCCAATAAGCGGCAGAGCCAAGTGCCCTAACTATGCATCACTGTAAGGGCAGATCAACTACAGAATGATATTGGAAAGGCATTTTACACAGTCTCAGATAATGTTTAAAAATGTTGATGATGCATTCAACTGGTATTTTCTACAAACACTAAGATCCAGACAGAAGTCAAAGAATTGCCGTTTCATACACACAGATTCTGCGTCCTGTGCGGAAGTTGTAAAGGAATTGGACAGGAAATGAACTTAACTGTCTTAGACATGTACTTCAACTGAACTTTTCTTTTACCCTAGACAAGAAGGTTATTTTTATACCAACAGGTCTTGGCCACCGCTAAAATACAAAAAACAAAAACAAAAAACCACTTTGAAAAATATAAGAGGGTGACATTTAGGCATTCTAATGTGGGAGATATTTTGTACAGTCGTATCTTGGATCTCGAACACCTTGCAATTCAAATGTTTTGGCTCCTGAACACCACAAACCCGGAAGAGAGTGTTCCAGTTTGCGAACGTTTTTTGGAAGCCAAACACCCGATGCAGTTTCCGATTGAGCTGCTCCCTGGTTGTCAAATGTTTTTGGAAGTTGAACAGACTTCTGGAACGGATTCCATTTGACAACCAAGGTACGACTGTATTCAGTTAAGAATCCCTGCACATCCCACACATTACCGGTTGTGCTCTCACCATCAGCAAAACGTTTTAGCAAAACCCCTTGCCATTCATCTACAAATCTGAAGTGGCAAGCAAAGTATTTGGAGAGTGGGGAGAGGAATAAGAATTTAGCATGTTTGGGGCTGCATTTCTTGTTACTGAAACTTTCACTGACCATTAACACATTAAACAATCCTAAATGTAGTTTGTAACGTTTACATTACCTGTGAGCATCAACTCTGGCTTGAGAAGCATTGTCCTCTGTGTAACTTCCCAGCAGCTCTACCATTACTTTTGCTGCATTATCACTGTGGGCAAGAAACAGTACTTCCTTTTAAAATCATTTCAAAAAGTACAAACTTAGTATAAGGGGACTGATGGATCAGAAAAAAGACCTAACTAAACCAGCATCCTGTGCTCACAACCAGATGCACATGGGAAGCCCGTACGGAGGAACCAAGTCTGACAGCTTTCTGCCACTCACACTTCAACAACAGGCATTCAAAGGTACAGTGGTGCCTCGCAAGACGAAATTAATCCGTTCCGCGAGAGTCTTCGTCTAGCGGTTTTTTCGTCTTGCGAAGCAACCCTATTAGCGGCTTAACGGATTAGCGCTATTAGCGGTTTAGCGGCTATTAAAGGCTTAAAGGCTTAGGGATTAGCTGCTAAAAGGCTATTAAAGGCTATTAAAGGCTTAGCAGATTAGATAAAGGGGGAAAGCGAAAAAAATCTCTAGACTCGCAAGACATTTTCGTCTTGCAAGCAAGCCCATAGGAAATTCGTCCCATGGCAACTCAAAAACGGAAAACCCTTTCGTCTAGCGGGTTTTCCGTCTTGCGAGGCATTCGTCTTGCGGGGCACCACTGTATATATAATCTCCGGTTCTCAAGTAGTTCGTAGCTTATGAAGTTGCCTCAACCCCTGTCCAAGTCAGCAATTATAACAGGCGACAACTGTTTTGCGTGGGGGTTTACTTTCCTGAACCCCACACGTGTCAGCAGAGCACGTGCAAGCCCACTCCGCCCCCAACCCACCCCCTTTTACAGCCACTTCTGGGATCGGTGTGATGGTTGCACATCAGTTGGATGTGTCTAAGACGGTTGTTGCTTGTACTACATGCAGTAGTTAAAGATAAAGGGACCCCTGACCATTAGGTCCGGGGTTGCGGCGCTCATCTCGCTTTACTGGCCAAGGGAGCTTCCGGGTCATGTGGCCAGCATGACTAAGCCACTTCTGGCGAACCAGAGCAGCGCACAGAAATGCTGTTTACCTTCCCACCGGAGCGGTACCTATTTATCTACTTGCACTCTGACGTGCTTTCGAACTGCTAGGTTGGCAGGAGCAGGGACCGAGCAACGGGAGCTCACCCTGTTGCGGGGATTTGAACCGCCGACCTTCTGATTGGCAAGTCCTAGGCTCTGTGGTTTAACCCACAGCGCCACCCGCATCCCATACATGCAGTAGTTATGTTAGAGCAATTTCCATTGCTTAATTATACACTGTGTGAGTAAGTGCTTCTTATTGTTTCTCCTGAATGTTCCAACATTCAGATTCATTGGGTGACCCCAAAATTCTAACTGTATGAGAAAGGAAGTATCAAAGGAGATGGTCAGATAGTTAAAGGCACTGTGAAGCTATGATTCAAATGAAAAGTGCACTTGAAAGGATGTAGGAGTTTTGACTGTCAATGGTACCAAAGTGGTAAAACAGCTGCATAGTCATTCAGTCTCAGGGGTCTTTGTTTTTTTTTTTAAAAAGTAGAACTTTACAGTTTATTTTATACTTTTAAACTGATAAATTACCTGCCAGTTACAGAATTTTCTCTCTTAGGTGAAAACATCTTTACACGACTTACTAGAACACATCTGGATACAATCATTAAAAAGCAAAGTAATGCTGAAAATTGTATGAAAATCAAGGAGCAGATATTATCAGGAGTGGGGAGGGCTTCACTCTTCTGTTACTGAAATCTCTATTCTCAATTACTACACTTATAGAGTACAATTTCTTACTTACACTATCTTGCTCCTGAGAATGAATGTAATTGAAACAACACAATATTGATGAAGGGAAGGCTATAAATCTCTTGGATAAAAGGATAATAAAAGTCAAATAAAAAAATGTTACTTTCAAAATTAGAGCATCTCATATTATGGGAACAGTGCATTTATAAAATGGTGATCTTGTTTTGCTTTTAATTGGCTTTTGAAAGATGACAATAACATTAAGTTATAAAAGCACAGCTTTCATACAAAAATTAGCTTTACTTCCAACTATATTGTGCTATTACCACTACTTCAACCTTGAGGGTTTTCTTAAGACTAATCCCAATGTCAAGCGTCATGTTTCTACATTTAGCACCAGTGATTCTCAAGACCCAAATAGAACAGCTTAGAAAAACAACATAATTTCATATTATCATAATAAAAGACACATCTATTCTTTAATCAAAACAAAGGCATATCTCCATTTTTCTTAAAGCCCCAAAGTCTATTTTCTTTACTAGCACAGTTTTTTAACAGCCCTAGTGAGACCTTTGCTATTTTAAGATTTTGTACTGACAGCTAATCACTATCACAATCAAGTTTGACCTGGAAAAAAGTCTTATCAAGCAGTTCTGTAAAACTTCACTATAAAAAGAACAGAAGTAGGCTGCGGTGAGTTCTTGTGCTTTCTTTTCTTTTTTTAGTTTGCACTCAGAAGGGAAAAACCATCCACATTACGTTTCCAGTAAAGACTCCAGAAACATCAGGCTCCGATAACTGATTAATTGTGTGTGTCAATAAGAAAGTATAGTATATACCTGTCTCACTTTTTGAACTCAGTCCATATGGAGAAACTGGAGATCAGTTTCTTCTGTCTAAGATAATCCATCGTTTTTTGAGTGGAGATCAGATGAATGCTCACCTGTTCACCACTTGAGCAATCATTAACGCTCACCTGTTCTCCACCACTTGAGCAATCATTTCAAGCAAACCCAACAGAGGAGAGAGACCTTTACCCCAAAAACACTCTACCCATCTTCCCCAATGTTCAGGTAGAGAGAAAAATCAATCTCCTTTTCACCCCACTTGCACCCCATGAAACAAACATGGACGTGGAGGAGGAGTGTTTTAAAAATGACTCCTTTCTCCTCTATGATGGCTTAACAGTTTACAATATAGCATTTAATACCAAAATAAAAATATTATTAAACATAAATTGTCATATGCAATCTAATAATTAATATTTGTACCATTCAAATGGAACAAGCAGCCCTTTATATTAAGCACACAACTGAACACAAGTCATACAAATTTAAAAACAATAATTGAAATGGTAAATATTTGGTGATCTTCCCCTGCCTCAATGAATTGTGCCAACATTGTTTGGCACAGTACGTAGTCTCAGTTACCTCTTTTTGCAATCCACGAGAACATCATAGAGCAGTCGAAGAAGGGTGTGCTTTTTCTCCGTGGTAAGATTCCAATCTGAAATCCATTTTCGAACCTATAAAAGGTTTGACACAGAAGGCAATGATTTTCACTACTGAGAAAAGTTATTTTAAGTTCAATTTTTGAAAATGCAAATATTTTAAAAATCAGAAGAATGTGAAATTATGAAACTATGTTCTGTGCCTTGCTCAGGAGCAGAAATCATTAATGGAAATTTCCCATCCATGCTTTACTTTTCCCTTAAGAGAATGGATACTCTCTGTCTTGGGATGCACTCCAGACAGGCTTGCATAAAGAAAACAACAACACGTTTGTTATTTTTACAATCACAATTTGGGATTCCCTTAATCAAGAAGGGGTTCTTGATTATGCATCTTATTATGTAATTCTTATGATGTATTTTGGTTTGTTGCAAATCTTATTAATTTTTTAAGGTATTCTTTGTTAATATGCAAATACTATTCAACTGCTTACCTGCTCCAGTTCAGTTGGAATGTACCGTATAGCTCCACAGCTGGAGGCTACTTTAAGGAGGCTGCAGTAGACTGTATACCTTGAAGGGGTATTCTTCTCCATGCCATGGAAGAGATTACTCAGTCTAAGGAATAATGACAAGTCAATTAATTTCCAACATTTGTAATGTATTAATGGACATACACTGCTCATGTAATGTACACAGAAATAAATACAAGCATTAAAAATGTTTAAAGTCATCACTTCTGCCACTATTAAGTTCAACCAAGTTTCACTCAAGTTGTGTCTTATGTTTGCCTAAGCAGCAGAAGAAAAAGTTTTTGCCTTAAGTAGGCAAAGGGGTTGTGCTCACTGCTGCATTGAGCAATGGCAGCAGGAAGAACTGTAGAGCAGTTAGTAGGAGTGAGAATCTCAAGAGTGATTTTGTTGTACTCAAACAGGGCTGGGACGACAATATGGCATAGAGAGGTCAGCATGGATGGAAGAGTCCTCAAGCTTGGAGTATGTTGCTAATATCTATGAAACATGAGGAGTTGGGCTGAAATGGAAGCTGTTCTGCTTAACCCAAGCACTGGAAGGAGAGGGATTTAAAACTAGACATATCCATTGTAGCATATATCCACATTTGCCTAACATTCCCTTTTAAAATGTGCCATACCTTGCACGTGGTGCAAAAAAAACTGGTGGCTTTCAGAGCTTCTATTTAAGAGCTTTTAATAAATTTGCTTACTCTGGTATGTAAATAAAATACTGAATAAAATCTATGTGTCTAACAAGTGTTTATTTGCTTTGGTTCCACCTCTCTCTTCTCTTTTTCAGCAGTACAAAATTATTCCTACACATGCTTACTCAGAGGCGAACTGCACAAATTCAGTAAGACTTTCTTCCAAGTTAATGCACATGGGACTGCAGCCAAAATCTCTTTGACAGTATGTATGTTTTGTACCAGTGTACAATCTGCAGTGCATCTGCAACCAGATAAACTTGTACTTTTTCTTATTTAAGAATGCAAAGCATGATGGCAAGTGGCTGCCCTTAACTAGTCCCAGAATGATAGAGGCACCCTATTTCTTTGAATCCCCCACTGTTCCCAGACCGCTGCTTCCAGTGCATCTAACTCAAAGCATTATTGTGGTGAGATCAGATTTAACTGTCCAGGGGTCCTTTACCTTTACCTTACAACTGATTGGAAGACACTAATGATTGGCCATCAAGCCCAGACATAATTTACTGACCCACTCAAAGATACCCTTAATACATTCTGCCAAAAATCCTGTTTCTCATGGAATAATTGTGGTACAAGACGTATTTATTCCATTCAATCACCTAAGTCACTTACAGCTGCAGTCTGAGTGATGGTCGTTCACCTTCCCGAAATTTGACCAATTTCTCACACAGACTTTCAATCAAAGCTTCCTGTTTGTCAGGTTCCAGAATAAGAAGCAGAGATACTACACTGTTCATCACACTTTCAACATCTATATTGAAAAACAAAAACATATTTCTGTAATGAAAAATGTGACACTGAATTGTTCTTTGGTAAGACTGTCTCAGCTTTACATTGTTAATACAACATACAGAAAACTCTTTTTGCAAACACCAACAGTAACTGTGGCATGTTTACTTGACTTCCAATTTATTTATTTATTGAATTTCTATATCGCCCTTCATGCAAGCACCACAGGGCAGCTTACAGTATAAAGACACAAAAATACATAACACAACATACTTAACAAAAACTGAAACACACACTCCCAGTTTAAAAGGCCATAGATACATCCATACAACTCTCTTGTTTTTGTCTGAAGGGTGTTGAAATGAAGTATAAAAAAATTACAATGGCTACTTTGATAACTGGCATTAGACAAAAAACTGTTACACCCCTGTCCTCTGCACAGTTGTGCAAATCAGGACACCATTGCTAATTATACATTGGATGACTAATAATTAATTAATTATACATTGTGTGAAGAAGCACTTGAAATTGACTGCTAAACAAATTCATTGGGAAATGTCAAGTTCTACCCAATTACTCCACACTATCCAGTATGTTTATCATGTTCCACTTCAGTGTTCTTATTTTTCTAAATAAAAGCCTCACTCTATCCTTTGACTTAGATTTATCATCAGGTAACTGACAGGTAGGCAGCTGTGCCCACATGTAAAACTTGGCCCCTTGTATACAATTATGCCCTAAAGGAGAACATCTCACTTTTCTAGAAGGCAGATAAAGAAACTAGAGCACAACTCTAGGTCAGATGCTTATCAATAGCTTCCTAAATTATGCAAACACCAACCTTTATCATCATCCCTCAGGCACACATCACATGCTTCAATGATCTGAGCCAAGTCAATATGAAGTCCACCTTCAGAATTTTCTTCTGATATCTCAGCTCCCTTAGATTTCAAGTAAGCCCTTAGTTCTGCAGCCTTTTCAAAGGAAAAAAGCATCTATAAAAATAACATCCTTTAATCATATTCCTCCTAGTAATGTCATAAATATACACTTATGATAATCCTGTTTACTCTTTGTGACTCTACGCCGATGCTGTGTTAAATAGCTTAACTCCAAAGCTCCCACTACTTGATCACATTCCTCCTAGCCATGTAATAAATATACATTTAAGAATATGCTCTCTATTCTTCCTGAACAAGAACCACTAACACATACAAAGCAGGGGGAGTAGTAGTAAAGAAATATGATCAGATCAGCCTCCAAACAAAGCCCTTCATGGGGCTCTCTATATTATACAGCGGGGTCAGCAAGGTTTATCTTGTCTGGTCCAGATTGGTCCCATGGAGATATGGAGATCCCTCCACGGGCCGGATCGTGCACGGGATTTTTGGCATCTGTGCGTGCACATACACGATTTCCGGTGCTGCAGAAGCGAGTCCCTGCGCTGCGCGCAAGTGGGCAACTCAGTTTGGGGGTGGCTCGTGGGCCGGTCAAACAACCTCCGTGGGTCGCTTCCGGCCCATGGGCCTTAGGTTGCTGACCCCTGTTATACACATAGCTGTCAACTTTTCCCTTTTCTTGCGAGGAATCCTATTCGGAATAAGGGAATTTCCCTTTAAAAAAGGGGAACGTTGACAGCTATGATTATACTGCCTGTAACTTCTCATTCGATACATGTTGACAGGCAGAAATATTCATTTCCCATCGTGCTCTTAAACACAATCCCTGGGCGGTTAAGCGCCACTAGAGACAGCGGGGCTGATCCAGCGAGAAAGGCTCCCGGGCAACCAACCTCGCAGGAAGGGCGTTTGCTAGCGAGGCCACAGCGGCCGGGGGGGGGAGGGGCGAGCAGGTGCAGAAAGGATCCGAGTCTAAAGGCCGGACGAGGCCCCAGCTGGGCCTACGAAGCTGCTAGGAAGCAAAGCCCCGCCAGCCTCGGCGTCCTTCACGGCAGAGGCTGGGAGCACTTCGCTTCAAAGCGGCGCTTCGTAGGGCGCGCGTGGAACCCGTGTATACGTCTGAATGAGGTCCCTCGAGTGATTCCCCCCCCTCCCTAGCGGTGGCCTCTGGCACCTGAGGAGGCAACAGCTGCCCTCCTGTATTCCGGGAGGGGCAGCGACGGAGGGAAACCAGCAGCCGCTCCCCATCCTGACCTGGTCTTCCTCGGTTATATCGATAAAAGCCGGGACGCTCATGGCTACAGACGGCCTCTCTCGCTGCCCCGAGCACGCTCCCCGGCCGGAAAGGAAAGCGACCGCTCCCAGTCACGCCGCTTCCGCTTCCGGGGCACTGCTGACCCCGTCCTGCTCCCGGAACGGCAGTTGCCGAGCGCGCAGGCGCACTCCCTTCAGCTGAGGCTGCCGCTACACTCGCCTTAACTGGAAGCGTGCCCGCCCCCAGGTGCGCATGCGCCGTTCGTGTCCCTCTCCTCGGATTGCAAGAAAGCAGCAGTTGTCCCGGTTGCGATTCCTTGTTAATCGAAGGCTGGATGACGCGTCTTTCGCACCTGCTAACTAGCACCGTAATCTCGAGTTGTGTGCGTGCAGTCCGTGCAAGATAAGAACTCGGAAAAGAGCTTTTCGAAACTCAGGGTAGCAGCAGCTATTCAAAACCCTAAAATTTTCTCTGTGCGTGGTGCAAATATGTTTGGTTTTTTTAAGAACAGTCACCGCCCTCCGGTGTACATGATAGACCCGATTCTTAAAGCGAAACAGGGAAAAGGCAAATCGAGACGTTCGCGGCTCACTGTTCAATGTTAGCATCGGTGAGGATAAGGTAAAACCCCTTTGCCCGTTCGCTAGGCAGCCCTGGACTGGACTGGAATGCAGGAACCTCCAACACGTCATCAGAGACCACAAGGATGAATGGATCAGGAAGGTTTTTGTGGTGGAATGTGGCTGCTGGAAAAGTTCCTCCCCCAGTTATTGAGGACTATAAACTGGAGAAGAAACTGAGCACATCAAGGGCTCAAACGGAATCCATTCCCCAACTATCACGTTGGAGATTATGATAACATTTTCATGAGGGCTACGTGTTCGTCCTCTGTCTGGCAGGGGCTTCACTCACTCCTCTTTATGATGTGAACTGCCTGCATGTACAGATTTAGAACTGATATAATATTGTCATTTCTGTGCGCTCTGTTATCCATGGGTGTTCCAGAATCTCTTCAGTGGATTAGCTGATGAAAGGCTTTTATGAGAAAATGCTTAAAGCCCGTATTCACTTTGCCTTGCCTCCTGTGCCATCTGTTTTATTATTTACTTCATATACACTTAGCCGCTTAACTTAACACTTTACAAGATCACTTACAAAAATCTGAAACAATAAAACTTCATGTTAAAAAAAGGAATAAAATCAGAATATGGACTATCTCAATGGGTCCTCCACCCTAGCAGCATGAAGTAGATGAAACCCTCAACTTACACGGGGATACATCCTGTGGACTGCACTTAAAGCTAAAATCGTGTATAGACAAAAGACATTCGGTGCAATGGCGGGTGGGATTGCCAAAGTCTTTCCCTGCATACACGCACACTTTCCACCCCCTTTTTAATTTTTACAAAAATGTTTGCCAAGCATATAAAGCTGGATGTGCACAAGTTAAATGTGCATAAATTGCAGGCTTACCGTAGCCAAAACCTCACCAGAGAATAAGCTAAAAATGATAATGGACCAGAGCTGGCCCAGCCATGAGGCAGGTGAGACTGCTGCTTCAGGTGGCATGCCTGTGGGTGCTCCACCACCTCTGCCATCAATGGAAAAGCACTGTCGCCATCAGCACTGGTTTTGGGTAAGATTTCACCCCAAAATAGTGAGAGATCTTGCAGAGTACAAAAGATCTCACAATTTGGTATCTGACGGGAAGAAACCAACAATAAAATAAAATAAGACTCTATAGAAAGAGGTGACTTCTCCTTGCCAGACTTGAAGTTATATTATGAGGCGTCCTGCACCTGCTGGTTGCAGGATTGGATTTTATTAAAAAATACAGATTTACTAGATTTGGAAGGTCATGATTATAGGTTTGGGTGGCATGCATATCTATGGTATGATAAAACAAAAACACACCACTTGGTAAGAAAATCAATATACGAGGTATGGGACAGATATAAAAACTTACTAGAGAAGATAAACACCTTGGTGGCTCTCTCCATTAGAAGCAATATCGGTTAAAAAATTAAATATAGGAGGGGATTGGGCCATCTATAAAGACCTGTTAATAGAGGCAGAAGACCAATTAAATGAGAAGATTTGAAGATATAACAGAAATGCTAACAGATTGGTTACAGTACCATCAATTAAATGATGTTTTTAAAGTACATTAAAAAAGGGTTTTGATACTGTGAGATCGAGGTTTGAAATAGATCTGGTGGAAAACAATGTAAAAGTGTTATAAAAAATGTACAAAATACTTTTGGAGTGATATACCAAAGATGAAGAAGTTAAAGCAGTGATGATTCACTGGGCTAGAGATTTTGGATATAATATTCATCTCTCATCTTGGGAAAAAGTTAGGGAAAGAGGAATTAAAATTATTGCATGTTGTTTGTTGAAAGAAAATTATATGAAAATGATGTTTTGTTGGTATCTAACACCGAGTAAAATTGAAAAAATGTATAAAACTAGCTCAAATCTGTGTTGGAAATGTAAAGGGAAGGAGGGTACTTTTTACCACATGTGGCAGACATGTACATTGCTAAAAGCTTTTTCAGAAATGATATACAGTGGAACCTCGGGTTGCGAATGTGATCTGTGCAGGAGGCACGTTCGCAACCCGCAGTGCCGCATCTGCGCATGTGTGGGTTGCGATTTGGTGCTTCTGCACATGTGTGAGTGCCGAAACCTGGGAGTAACCTGTTCTGGTACTTCCGGGTTCGGCGTGGTGCGCAACCCGAAAACACGCTACCTGAAGCGTCTGTAACCTGAGGTACCACTGTATAATGAATGAAAGAAAACGTTTTAAAATACATTTACTAAAAAAGCCAGAAGCTTTTTTGTTAGGTATAATAGGTGAAGAGATACCAAAATAAGACAAAAGACTTTTTATGTATGCAACGATGGCAGCGAGAATGCTACTAGCCCAGAGATGGAAGGAAGGAAGGAGAAGCATCAACAAAAGAAGAATGGCAGACAAAGTTGATGGACTATGCTGAGATGGCAAAACTGATGGGGAAAATCAGAAACCAGGAAGATCAAGTATTCTTAAAAGACTGGAGTAAATTCCTAATTTACTTAAAAGACCGCTGTAAACAATTAAAATCATTGGCAGGGATGTAATTTGGAACTAACTACGGTAACTACAGTATGGATATATAACAGATGGATAACGGTAAAAGATGCACAAAGCTTTATCTGAAATACAGAACCCGTGGAGGGAGGTGAGGAGGTCCGAAGGTTCAAAATAACCTTTTATTTTAATGTTTTAAGTGGTTAAAGTTAAAATGCATAAACTTATGTAAAACCAATAAAAAAGTTATAACTACAAAAGAGCTCACACTCACACCAAATTGGCATGATCTTGCCCAAAATTGGCAACAATGGCAGTGCAACTTTTCTGCTAGCGGTGGATGGGGCAGGGCATGCAGGTGGCAGAGCAGCCTGACTACATGGGTCAGACCAACTAACGTACTGCGAAAGTCCTATTGATGTCATAAAGGACCCCTGACCGAGGCCATGAATTCCTGACCTGGCCCATTGGAAGCAGGCTTGGTGTGGATATTGAAGTCCCCCAACACTACCATGAAGCGGTTCTCCAGCACAACGTCCAAGACTACCTCGCAGGAAGGTTGTAGTGCTACAGGGTGTATAGTATACTCCCTGTTCTGACTCTAGCTAAACATTGCAACAAATCCCTTGAACCCAGACACACTGTGGATCAGTCTCCTTGTGAGGCAGCTAGAATTTTGAAGGATGATAGCAACTCCCTCTCTGACCTGGACCTGTGTTGCACCAAATATCAGGTGGACATTGCTGTGTTAGCATATGGCCACTCAGCTCATCTGCCCAGGTCTAAGTTATGAATACCAATAACAATGTAGAACATCAAATTCTGAAATAAAATGGCGGGGGGGGGGGAGACTCCCCTCTTCCTCCATCCTTGGAATAATTCCCTTAACCAATCTCTGCTTCACAGTAACAGAAGGCAAACAAACAAAAAAGAGATCCAAGAATCCCAGGCAGAAACAGCTCTACCTCTCACCTGCGATACTGCAAACACTTTGACCTGTCTCTCTCCCAGGGAGATTCTGTCCAGCTTCCCACTACAGGATCGCATTTTGAGTGGGGGAGGGAGGTGTGGCGTTTGCCTTCCTATGTGTGTGACATCATACTAGGTTCATAGGGAAAGGGTTAACTAGTTGTAAAATGACTAACCAATGGGAACCCAGGGGGCAGAGTTAACTGTGTATAAGGTTTAAGCACAGAGGTTTTTTAGTTAGTTAGAGTTGTTGAGAAGACAGTCTGGAGTTAGAAGAGACAGAGAAGATAAGTCTGTGGGTTGGGCTAGAATGGTGTGAGAGAGTAAGAGAATTTGTTAAGAGGAGTCAGTCAAACCGTTGAGATAATCAGTCGGAAGGTATTAGGAAGGTATAGGCCAGTAATGACACTAAAGTTAAGATACTGACAGGAATATTATCTGAGAAACCATAAACTTGTTAATCTTTGTAAAATAAACTTGGTTTTTTTTTGGTTCACTTTTAACAACTGACTGGACTCAGTGTTTTACCAGAGAGTAACTGGTTGGTAGCAGCGGGGAAGCAATTACAGTGGTGGCACAGGAATCAATAGACTGTTAAACGTCTGGGGACCCTGTGTGATCGCCACAGCTGTGTTTTGTACTCTACCCACTCTCTACAAATCACCGTTCTCTCACACCAGTGCAAACCCATTTCCACAAATAGGACAACATATATTCAAACATTCCCAGGGGGGAAATGGTAACAATTAATGATGGGATGGCACCCTCACACCGACCCAAGAGGGATCACTCCCTTTTGTATAGCCCTCTTGGGGCCAGCCCACCACTTGATAGCAGCACAGCCTTATCTAGCTTCCAGGAGCAATTATGAAAGCCAGGTGTTACAGACTTGCCTCCAGTGCTGCTGCTGAATTTTGGACTGGGTTTTGCTGCAATGGAAGGCAAATTCTGCTGCCAGTGGGGGCTGCTGGAGATAAACTGGAGGAGAAGTCAATCAAAATTCACACACCAGCAGATAGTAACCTGGCCGGTGTTCCAGAGCTGTGCTCCAATGAGCCATCCTAGCAGGACTGTAACAGAAACCCATCATGAGAACGGCCCGTGGTCCATCTAACTCATTATTGTCTATAC